TCTTTATTATTATTAAATAAAATAAATTAAACATTAAATCTTTTATTCAATGGAATTATTGAAACATAATTTTTCTTATTTATACTTTCTACTCGATAATCTATCTTAATAGTTCAACCATATATTCTATGCACTACAATAATCAAATCTATACCTTCCTTATAATATTCTTCTTTCTACAACTCTGTATTTGATACTTCGGGTGTCATAAATTTATGCTTAAATCGAATACTAAAGGAAGACGTATTTTTGTACCATTTGACATAGGCTAAAAAATATGTTCTTGATCTATTCGAAAGGGTAAGTGTATATTCAAAGTAATATTATATTTCTTCAGGATAAATATCACTTGTTTCATCTTTAAAGACCTTCCATTTTACTAAGATTACTGTATTATTTTCATATCAGCTTGTAATTTTAAACCCAAATATTTTATTTCTTATTATTAACCTTACATGTTGATTCATAATCACTTCCATACATATCTTTACATCTTTTTTTTTAAATTATATAATATTGCATATCACCTACATAATCTTTTTTAAACTTCTACTGGAATACTTACCTTTTTATATGTAGGTACTAATATATGTTCTGATATATGTTCAGTATCATAGATCTTATTGAATGTATTATATCTTAAGGAGATAAAATACTATAACTCTTTTCTATTAAATTCATTAGTTACAACTAAATTGCTAATAGCTTTCTTTGGTACAAGAAATTGAAGAAACTTCTCCAAGAGATTAGATATCTATTGACAAGAAAGATGATAATTCACAAGCAAATTTTTAAGGACTATTTTTATAAATTCAAGTTTAATCTGCTAATTACTATTGGGATATGAACCTATAATAAGATTTGTATTAAATTTTTATTTATTATAATTTGCATGTCTGATATGTGTTATTTATTTATATATCTATTTAATCTCTTATATAGAAATAACTAAAAGCTATAAATAGAACTATAATTTCATATGCATTCAGAAATATGTATTGATAAATAAATATTATTTGTAATATATTTAGGTCTATAAGTTCTTTTTATTTTTATTGACATATTTCTTAATCTTTCTTGAGCTTCTTGCAAATTGTCTTCAGTAACAAATCTAGTAATCAATAAGTTATATGCCCAAACAAAATATCTCAAAATCTTTCTATCATTATCATCTAATATGTCCCATAGAATTGTTGTTATATAAATCATAATGAAAGTTTTCCATTGATCAGTGGTGAGTTTTAAAAATTCTTCTCTAATAGTGATCTTTAGAGGGATTCAACTAATATCAAATAGAAGTTGAATGTTATTCATCCTCCTTTATGTTATACGAAGTTGCTCAGAATTTAATTTATTCACTTTAATAAATATAGAATAAATAATTCATTTTGTAATTCCAAAAAACAAGTAGTGTATAGGATCTACTGCTACAAATCTCATTGGATTCATGTAAGGAAGACAAAGTAATTCAGATCATTGTACTCTATGTTCTTTGAAATGAGTTTCCCTTGTTCCTCTGGTGATATATTTAAATTATTTTTAAACATATTGTTTATGTTCTTGGAGGTCTTCAGATTCTTTAATCCATTGTTCATAATCATCCATACCACTATAATAAGTTTTTTAAAACTTCTCACTATATTAACTTTTTTTTGGACATCTGTGACATTTCATTATTGTAGATCTGTGTCCAAATAATTTTCTTGTAACCAGAATATCAAAAGAACCTACAATTATTGTAACTTTTATATTGAGCCCATCTTTATTTTCATATGTTTTGAGAATTCTCCATCCCTCCCATAATTCCTTAAGTTCATCAACTATTGAGAATAGGTAATGATTAATTTGATTCTTATTGGCTTCCTTGAGTCCTGATAGAAAGCTTAAATAAATAATATTTTTGAGTTTATTTCTTTCTGCCTTTGGAAGATTGTATATTGAAACATAAATAGTACCAGTGCTATGTTGTGTGTATTTAAAGGGTTGGAACCAGTTTAAATTCATTAATAATTCTAAATTCATAGTAGCAGTTTCTGAACTAAAAAATTTGCTACCATCGAAAGGAAATGTATTTTATATTTTTCTATCATATATATCAGTATAAATATTATTATCATAATTTCTTGTACCTGATTGATCTAGCATTTTTTCAAAGCCAGATCTCTGATACATGATACTTAATTGTTACTTAATTGAGAATTTAGAATATAGCATTCAAGAAATAGCTACTATTTTTTTCATATTTCTTTTGAGAGAGGAGAGTTTATTATCACATAAATTCTTGTGGAAAGGTATAGGATTATTAGGATATTCTTTATAATTGCAATGCATAATCGCCAACTTATTATTTCTTTATGATTATATACAATCTTAGAATTATATAATTTATGACAGTTTGTACAAACTGCTATCCTTAATTTTGGTTGAAAAATTCCTAACTTCTTTTTTGCTATAAATAAAGAAGCAGAAAATTCACAAAACTTAGAATCATCAATCATCATAAGCATATTGTTTAAAAACTTAATTAAGGCCTCCAAGGCCATATCAGGTATCTGGTACCTTTGTTGAAATTTAAATAACTACAAAAGTATTTCTACATCTAATTTATCTTCTAATTCTGCTCTTTTATAGCTTTTGCTATCACTTTTCAGCTCAGGTGCAGCAAATAAGTTATTGTCATCTTCAGGTGCTTCATTATCTGTGTCCATATACTCTACTTGATTATCATCATCATCATCTTCTTGGTTATCAATCAATTCATTATCATTATGTTGTTCTTCTAAGTCATCAATTAATTCATAATTTTCTTCATCTCCTATATCAAACAAAAGTTCATCATCATACATGAAAGAAATCTGATTATTGGATTAAATTTTATTTAAGATTTTCTAAGTTCCTATTATAGAGGTTCCGCACTGTATCAGAAAATTTTTTCTTAAGCAGGTGATTATTCGAAAGATGTGACACTAGGTGATAAATACGATGCCCCTGACCTGAAATTTTAGTGAAACATCATGTGGGGTAGGTGATACTGGGGAAGATAATTTATAAACGAACCAAAATTTTTGAGCTTAAAATTTTTTTTTTGTGCAATACAAGTATGGCTACAGAAGTTGTAGATCGAGTTGAGATTAAAACTGAAAGCGTTACAAGGTAATAGAATTATAGGTTTTACATCAAATGATATAAAATACTTGAATCCTCAAGTTTTTGCTTTTCTTTGCTTCTTAGCCAACCAGTTGTTACTTCAAGCACCTCCCCTACCACGAAAAGAACAAGCCGTAATGATAAAAGACGAGCTAGCAATGAGTTATCACGGCAGAACACCGAAGAGGTTAGCAAAAATAGTATTAACTTTTCCGATTCACTTTTTTTTTTCTTCCCAGATTATTCAATTTACTACACATGTATGATTCTCTAACCATATCATGATTTACTTGTTATAGACTAAAAGACCACGGTTAGACATAAAAGATGCTGAAGTGAAAAAACGAGGGCAAAGGATCTTTGGAGTTCTTTTAGGCACTTTGACGAAATTCAAAAATGATATTCAAAATAAAACAGAAGCTGTATGTTTGTTTGTTTGTTTGTTTGTTTGTTTGTTCATTACTAGTGAAGGATTAATTACATGTAATCAATGATTCTGTGATTCTATGATGTCGACTTTTAATTAAAATAGTTTTCTATTATAATAATTAGGATATTAAACGTGAACAAATTGTTCAAAAAACTCAAGACAAATTAAAGAAGGAACATGAAGAATTAGTAAATAAGATGAAAAAAGAAGAAGAGGAGCGAAAGGAAAAAATTGCCAAAGAAAAGAAAGAAGCAGAAGAAAAAAGACTTAAAGAATTGGTTTGTTTTCTTTAAACGTATTAATTTTAATATTTCAATATTTTTAATATCCAAGACTGAAATTTTTTATACTTGACTAATTAATAAAAATCAATTAATCAGCAAGAATGTTGGACAGCGCAAAAAAAGAATCTGGCGAATTTCCTCCGTACAAATACGGAACCTTCACTTTATTATCTTCCTGCTAGAGTTTCCCAACCAATGGTTGAAACAATAGCAAGACAGAAACGTCAACTGGTGTTAGAATCAACTTCCTCTATATCCCGTGATGAGAATAATAATATTAATATTAATATAGTTAAAGAGGAAATAACAGATAACGCTGAAGACATTGAGATGTCCGATCAAAATGATAAAAAAGTAACATCATCAGAAAATATTAAGATGGAAACTGATCAGCCAGAAATAAAGAATGAAAAATCATTAGAGGAGAACAATAACAAAGATGATCAAACGCAATCATCAGTATTAAGCAATAATAATGATAATAATAATAATAATAATAATAATAATAATAATAATAATAATAATAATGAATCCCAAGAAGAAGAAGAACCAGCCATAGCAGCAACTGAAGAATCAGTTGTAAAAGATGAAGCAGCTACTGACAGTAAGGATGATCCCGTGGAATATTAAATGCTTTTAATAGGTCTGTATACTCCAATTTATGTTTGTATAGTCATTTTCAACTTTTTTATTTTTTATTTTTATTTTTATTTTTTTTTTTGCTTTCAATTCTTCTTTCTTTATTGTTGATGTCGGGGAAATGCGACCAATATAATAATAAAAGTAATTACTGGTAAAAATTTTGTAGCAATTTTCACATAACCCAAGAATTGGGATTTTCCCAGCAGTAATTGTGTATATAACACACACACACACATTTATATATATATATACAGTTTATATATATAATACAAGAGTATACACATTATATATATATTGTATATTATTTTTGTACTTTCGATTTAATAGAAAATAAATTTTTTTGTGATATACAAATTCTCTAAATGTTCTCATTTTTTTTTTTTAAAATATATACCATATTAAGTTAGAACTTGTTAATCAGTCTTTATTTTTTAGTGTTACATTTGAAATTCACGAGCTTTAAACAATTTATTAAATATTTATAATATAATAAAATATTAGAATGTTGTTATTTGTAAGACGAAATAAATATATGGGACATTTTTACCCTCACTCGATTACATTTTTGTCTCCTCCTTTATTTCATATAAAGGTTTTCAATACGAACTAAGCCCCCGTTTTTTTACGCCCAATTCTAGAGGCTTAGCTATAAATATAGACCTATTACATATACTTTTTAAGATGACGACTGAGGAAAAATCGCCAAATTTAATTCAAACGAATGATACAGCTGATACAACTGATGCAACTGATGCGACTTCGAATAGTATTAAAGAAATTATCCATGAAGAGCACACACCCAATGTCGGGATCGATAGTTTGACGACGGGTTTGGATACAAAAGATACAAAAATCACTTCTGACTTCTCTCACCCCATGTCAACAAATTCAGTAAATCCAATAATAAATCAATTTCTATCAAATAAAATTATGAAATCAATTTTTGGAACTTCAACTGAAAAGAATGTTTGTGAAAATGTTAAAACATTCTTTTTGTCAACTCCGATGCTTATTTTTGTCATATATTTATTTATATACCTTGTTTGGAGTTATGTTCAAAAATCACATTTGATTCTAATTGGAATTGGGTGTGTACTTGGAAATGCATTTAAAATCGGATTAAATTCGATACAAAATAATGTGGTTGTGGTACAAGAATCATCTTTATTTCGAAATAATCAAAATTTATTTCAGGTAGCGTTTTTGTTTGTTTTTTTTTTTTTCAATTAAAAAAATAAAAAAATAATGAGTTTAATTATAAATAAATTATAAATAAATAATGAATATATTTAATTAATAAAAATCAATAACAGGAGGGAAAATCAGTAAAATCAGATGAACTTGAAATTAATGAACTTAATATTACACCACGTATTAATGAATCGTTAAATAAAGTCTATAGTTATATAATTCGGGATATAGTTGATTATTATTATGATCCGATAAATCCCAATCAAGATCCTGAATTATCAACTCAAGTACGTAATTCTATGAATGCTATGACAATAAATTTGTCTGAATATCTTCGAAATTCAGATCAAATTGAAGTAGGAAAAATTTCTTGTGTTGCAATAGCAGAAAATTTTATTGTACACTTGGTATGTATTTATTTATAAAATAACTTTCTTTCGAGGTAAGATCGAATATATCTGAATATTTATTATATTTCATTTCTAATAAAAAATATTCTTCTATCTTTTTTTTTTCATTTATTTTTTTTTTCATTCATTCATTTTATTTATTATTTAAAAAAAAAATTCAAAAGCGGGAATTTCGACAATTTATTGCATCAAATAAATCATTAGATGTTTATTGTAAGGAAAATAAATCATCAGTTTTTGCTCAAACCACCAATAGGAAATTACAAGCTTCAGTTCTTCGTTCTTTGTCACGGTTAATGTTTACACGTCTTTTTCCATCAAATGAATCTCGTAGTCGTATTTTAATGGCATTTATTTCTGAATTATGGGCTACACAAGTTTTTGAGAAAGTTCTTGATACTATATGTGACCCGGATTGGATTAATTGGACAATTGTTGATTATTTGACTGATGATAATAATAATCCGGATGAAATTCATGACACTACCTTATTTCAACAATTGGCCACCTCTATAGATGAGGAAGTGGCTGGTTTGGCAGAAAGATTAAAACAACCTTCAACTTCTTCAACTCAATCAAATTCACTTTTCAATTTTAAACCTGAAGAAATAAATGAATTAAATATATCAATTGGTTCTTCTTCAGAAATTTATTCGGTACCATTTTCACCGAATAGTCTTTTCTCTCGTTCAGCCAATTCAATCAATTTACGAATTATCCTTGATCGACAATCCGAAATGTTTGCCGAATTTATGGCTTTTCTTGAGGAATATAATGCTGATAATTTATTACGATTTTGGCTTCAAGCTGATTCATTCAGAAAAATTGCATCCAATGAATTGAACATAAAGTTAATTCAAGAAGATGCTTTGGGAATTTTTAAAGCATATTTTGGTGAAGCTGCGACATGTCCTGTAAAAGTTGTAGAAGAAAATATTGTTAAACAGTGTGCTCGAGAGATTGCAAAGGCACCAACTTGTAATTGTTTTATTACCATGCAAGAATATGTTTTCGGTGTGTTACAAAATGAATATTTTGATGATTTTGTTAAAAGGATGAAAGAACAAGGAGAAGATATGAGTTTTATGATAAATGATGAAATTAGAAAAGACGAAGAAATAGAACATCATTCTGAAGTAGAATCAATTTTATCATCACAGTCTGAAGAGATTAAAGAGGTTAAAGAGGTTAGAGAGGTTAGAGAGGTTAAAGCAAACAATTTATTGAAGGATGATAATTATAATTCTCTGAACAATTCTATTAATGACTCTAATTTGAATAAATCGGCATCAACATTTTTAGAAAATTCTGAAAACCAAGTATCACATAAGATGGAAACCCTACATGAAATCTCAGAGAATATAGTCAAAGAAAATCTAGTAACAGAAACTTCAGAAAATTTTATTAGCACTACTGTAGAAGAAGAAAACCCAAGAACAGAAAATTCTATTTACACAGCTGTAGAAGGAGAAGGAATAGAAAGTCTTGTTGCGATGGCTATGGAAGAAAATTCTATTGAAAATTTTGTTGAAAATTCTGATTATGTAGCTTTAGATTACGCAATTGTAGAACATGAGAGTGATTTGGAATCTTTATTCGAACGTCCATTAATGGATCTAAATGGGGTTCGAATAAAGATGAATGATGTATCGGAGTCTTCCCCTAATAAATATATTTATTCACCCAAATCACTCGAATATATGATTCAAGTTGAACAACCCGGTTCAACCGGATGGATTATGACTCGAAAATTTTCTGATTTTGAAACCATGCACTCCGCTCTAGTAAAAGCTTTTCCAAAAGCTGAGAAAGTAACCATGCCTCGACTTATGTTAAAGAGGAATCAAGAGGCTTGTAAAGCTTTGGAAAGATATCTGAACATATTGTTAAGTGATGCTACCTTATGTGAAAGTGAACCACTTCAAAAATTTATGAAAATAGATGGACTTGAAACTGAGAAAATGGCAAAACCCAAAAGTACAAAAAGTACAAAAAGTACAAAAAGTAAAGCACTTTCAATTCTGTCAATACCAAAATCTATGTCAATGGTAAATCTTGTAGGGGTAGTGTCAGGTTCAATTTCGAATGATGAGAATAAAAACCAACGTGAACAATTACCAACGCAACCTAGTTCCGTTGAATCATCTAAAAAATCATCTCCTAATTCTAAAAGATCTTCGAATAGTTCTATTCAAAAAAAATTGTCTTTAGAAATACTTCCTGCAACTTCTGACGAAACGATTAAGAATTCAACGTTGACAAATGAAGATATAACCCGACCAAGCGTTGAAAGTGTAATTTCTACATCCTGGGAATCAAGCCGAACCGTAACACCTACGATAGTACCTAATGAATGTGATACTACTCCAATAGGTATTACTACTTCAATAGGTATTACTGATACATTAGTAACTGAAAGACCGACATTAGAAAAATTAGAAATGTCATATAATCTCCCTCCTGTACCTTCTTTTAACGCCTCATCATCAGCTTCAGGGGTTACAGTTATAGACCAAACTCCGACTCCATTAAAAAGACATTCGCGACCACAAAAACAGTTGACCAGTGACGATACTAATCTTTTAATTGATCTACTTTTTGCTATTGTCGAAGAAATATTTGATTTATCGGAAAAATCACAATGGCATCTACGAAAAACCGTCCTTTCTGTATTACGTCAAGTTGTAAGGAGGTCATATACCGAGGCAATCAAAAGTTCATTTCTGATGACCATTGATTCCTTTTATACTGAAGATTATTGTGTATCAATGATAGATAATTTGACAAATTCATTTTGGCCTAATGGAGAATGGTCAGATGTTATTCAAGAAAGAACAGAAGAAGATAAATTGAAGACTAAAGAGGATGCCAAAAAATTACTTTTACAAAAAGCTGTACCTGATTCATTGAAACAAGTTATGGGATATGAAAATTCACGACTTATGGTTGGAAGATTGGTGGATGATTTCTTGGCCGAGAAAGAAGTAGTGAGAGGAATGGGAATTAATATATTAGATAGAGTGTTGAAACTTGTGATTCCCGAATAATTTGAGACAAAATTTTCAATATTTGTAGATATATATATATTATTTATGATTATTATTTGGTTATTTTATAATATATTATTATTATTATTATTATTATTAATTATTATTAGAAATTATTAAAAAATAATTAAAATTATTATTTAAAAATTCTTACTTTTAATGGAATTGAAATATTTTTTTCTATATTTTGAATAATTTAGTTTAATCTTGGTTGAAATTATATTAATTATTAAATTTTTTTTTAGTCTTTTAATTTTGTTCAGAAAAATTTTTTAAACATAATAATTGTACAAATATAATTATATAAACATACATATATTAGGATAAACAAATTAATGTGATAATTTCGAAAAATTTAAAATATCAAAGATCTATGAATGCTTTTTATTTATCTGTACAATATTATTATATTAAACATCTACGGAAATACAATACTAATGGATTAAAACTATTTATAAAACTATTTAAAGTCACTATCAAAAGAATTTTATTCGTTGAATACAAATTTATTAGGCGAAGGCAAATTATACCATCGAGTAATAAAAATACAATTCACCTAAACATTATTTTAAAGATGTCAAAAATGATTAACATTTATTTTTTATTTTCAATAACCACCAGAGGGATCGATCGAACCTTTTCCTCTAAATAAAATTAATTAGAAAAATTCATTTTAGATTAATGTTAAAAAATATATAAAAAATATATATATAATATATAATAAAATTAGAACTAACCCCATGCAATTAGTTTTCCTGATCCATTGCCGGTCGCGACAAAATTGATATTTGGATGAAACGCATTAACGGCTGCCAAAACAAATAAATTTAAATATCACAATTAAAACAATTAAAAACAAAACAAAGCGTGTTCAATATAAAAAGTAAATTTGCTTTATTACCTGGTATAGCAGTCAAATTCTCGTCACGCAGATTCCAAATCAATTCACCGTTCACACCAGATATTACATCAGCGGACCTTTTCATATTGCCAATAATAAAATGAGGATGCAAATTTGGGTTCGGATTCCATGTGGCTCGAAACATTGTTACCCATCTTGGTAAATGATCAGAGTTAACAATTAAGAATTAATAATTAAATTAAATTAGAAAAATATAATTTATATATATATATTCACCTTCCCGTTCTATTATCATGTGGAACAATTACACGTGTTTTCAATTTCATTTCATTATTAAAGTCGAATACTCTCACCATATTATCAAAGCATGTTGTAACAATTTGATCACCATTAGGACTCCAAAATGCGCTCGTAACTGAATTACTAAAAACAAATTCTTGAATATGCGTTTGATCGTCTGGTTTGTTTGGATTTAAATTACGAATATCCCAAAGTCGCATTGATCTATCCAATGAACTGGTGACAAGAAAATTCGGGTGGATTGGATTAATGGATATATTTCCAATCTTTTGATCATGAAGAAAATGCTCCTCGAATGTTTTAACAGGTTCGCGAAGATCTTTTATACCAAACTTTCCATCAATTGTTGAAAAGTATATTACGTTTCCATTAGGATTAAAATCCATGCTTGTTAACATATCTTCGTCTGTTGATACAAATGCTTCCATAAATTTTGCCGAGTTAAGGTCAAAATAACGAATTGATCCATCATAAGAACATGTAAAGAGTTGATTAGAATCAATAGGTGAATATTTGGTCACAAGTACAGATTTTGAATGAGGCTTGAACATATAAGTTCTTGGTTCAATATCACCATTCTCCAATTCGACATTTTCCTTAACATCCCAAAAACAAAGTGAACCAACTTTATCTCCTGCAGCCACTAATATTTTATCCTTTGAAGGATGAACAGCAAGAGAATAAATTCGTTCTGAAGATACTTTAACTGCAGGCCATCGTTGTCCAATAGATAATGAACGACACGCCCATCGAATTGATGTAAGTCCTTCTTTACCTCCAGCAACTGAACTATAATCAATATCTTCATTTTTAACTGTTTTAACTGTACTATCAAATTCTAACATTGATTTTGTTAAATCTGATAATATTCCAATAAAATGATTTGTATCATCAATGGACGTGGCTTTTGAACGTACAGAATTTAAATCAACATCTCCTTCTATTCTAACGAGTTTTTTTAATTCCTCTTCTTTAATTTTATTTCTTTCTTCGACTTCACGTTTAGCTTCAGGTCCATCCGGCTTGAGACCACGTATTCTCAAAGATTTACGTGTTGGAGTACTAGGTTCTTTCTTAGTTGGTTTTTTGAGTGGTTTGGGTTTCCGCCTGTACCGAGAACCAACAAGATCGGGAATAAGTTGTCTAAGAACTTCTTCGTTTCGACGTATATTTTCTTGTCGCTGTTTTTCACTTTATTATAAGAACGCGTTCGCGTCAAACATTATATATATATATATTTTTAAAAAAAAAGACGCGTCTCAAATATATGAATACGTGTTTGAAAATAGCTTACTATTCATTGAGTGTCGAGTTACCATCCATTTTTTTTATATAATTATTTTAATTATTTTCAAATTATTCGCCCACGAACTTTTGATAAAAGTTAAAATATTAGTAATAATCGATCAGTAGATCAATGACAAATCTGAAAAATTCCTAAAATAATAATTGTGCTACGATATGTAGTGCACCTGTATTCTTGTATGTGGTCGAGATACTTCAGCGTGACCTGACATGCCCGCGCAATTTCAGCGTATTATCTCATCGTGACCACATGTGCCTATTATCTATTTCTAAAACAGCGTTTTTTCTAATATACGATCTGCGTAATCGAGGCATTTTAACAATGGAGATGCTTTTGTTATGATCACGAGAATAAAAATTACGAGCAAAAAAATAGATCATATATGTTGAACGACATTTGATTTGTAATAATAGATGAATTGATTATTCGATTGACATATTGAGTAGTAAATGCCTTGTTGGGGGGGGTCAAGACTTTATAAATCGATATTATTTTATTTTTATGTATATAATTTGAACATATATTAATTTTGATTTTGATTTTGATTTTGATTTTTCACATGTATCAGTATTAATCTTATCCTTAAAATATATGATCGAAAAAAAAAAAATACAATAAATTTAATTCTTGAGTATGAACTAAATGCGGATTACCATACCATACCTCAATAAGAACAATCGTAGAGAACTTTTTTTTTTTTTTTGAATTGCTTTCTAAAATTTCTAAAATCTTCAATTTTTTGTTAAAACAGTTTTACATGACATGTTGCATGAGTTGTTTACCTTGTACCTCTCTCTAATAAAACAAAATCATACTGTTCCTAAATCTGGACGGTGAAAACATTAGATATGACTTCGCGACATAGAATTTTTCATGCTTATTTAAGTAAAGTGGCCATGATTTGTTTCTATAATTAAAATTAACAAACCTTTATTGCACATCCATAGCATTGAAATACAGAAATTTAAATATTCTGTATGTCTTCTCTATTGTGAGTGATTTTTTTAGCTTCTATAAGACCAAAAGGAAAAGATTTTATTGTTAACTATTTATATAATATGTGCCACGTGGTAAAAATGGTAACATGATGTCATTAATTAATTAGAATAAAATAAGGATCACCATTGATTTTTACTCATTTTTTTTTTTATCATTTGATTTAACAAAGTTAGCTCAAATTTAAATAAAGGATATCACTAATTGGATTTTATAAATTTTAAATAGTAATAACTTTTATCCAAGTTATAATGATCTTAAATATATTTTACGGAATAATCTTAAAATTGTGAAGTATTCTTTACTTCTGATATATGTATAAAGTATTATAATATATTTGAAATTATAAAAAAAAAAAAAAAAAAAAAAACAAAAACAAATTAAACTGGTTTCTGTATAATTTATAAGGAATTTATAGAAAGATCTGACTGTATGAAGATACGCACATCCTTTATTTTGCTTCATAAAAATAACCGACAAATAGTAATCACAGTAATGTGCTTTGTTTCGAAGGTAAACAGATCAAAAAATTTACTCCTACACATCCTACGAAATTTTTCTATCTGGTTGTTGCTCTATATTTAAAATTTTTTTTTTTATAATCATATGATTTACAATATATTTTTGGATAGATTTTATTTTATTTGTACACAACAATGATGAAAGAAATTTTTTACTCATGCTTTTTTTCCACATTCTAAAAATCATTCTTAAATCTTTTTTACGTAGATTGATTTAATCAAAAAAACCTTATAATTTTAATTGGGGCTTAAAATTATTACTAATTATTTCGTAAATCATTTAAATTACTTAACCAATTAATTGAATTTTCATGATTTTTGCTTGCACATTGATAAACATTTACGGAAATAAAGGATCAAAAAGTTCATTTATTAGATTTAAAATCGTACTAGTTTTTTATATGCGTGTAAATATCGTGTTCAATAACATGCTGTTATTGCTGTTATTGTAAATAAAGTAAATATTGTAATAATTGTAATAAATGAATAAATGAACACAAATTATCCAATTATCAAAAGTATCAATAAATGGAATGCAGGGGAGGGAAACTTTCAATAATAACATACTTCTTGATTAATATTGTTTATTATTATGATGATCACTCTGTGGTCTTGTGATTTCATTTATTTTTTATATTTTTTTCTTATCAGTTTCTCAAAAATCCACCCATTGATGATTAATCAGGTAAAGAATTATTAGTGTTCAATTTTGTGTTTAGTTTTTTTTTCTCATAAGCATTTACACACAATCACAACACATACAACAATTACAATTACATTTATTACTTACAAAACTCCAAGGCGTACCGCCGCTTCATTATCATTGATCAATTTGGGGGTTAGTTATTATTTGCATTTCAGCTAGCGACCAAAAATTTCTAATTTTTTTTTTTTTTTTTTTTTTTTTTTTTTTTTTTTTTTTTACTTTCACAACTATCAACAATTATCATTAAGTATCTGTATATTAGCTGCTCTTGGTCAAGTTTTGCCGGATTTTATGCATTTATTTATTTATTTACTGTTACCTCTGCCCGAGTTTGGTTAAGATTCGAAAAGGAATTGGCTTGAGGCAGTGTTTGTTCATCATACAACTAATATTTTGTGTGTGTTCCCGATGCTTCAACTTCTCATTCTCATAGTACACAACAAAAAAAAAAAATTTATAAATTAATAAGAAGAAAAAGGAAATAGGATAAAGAAGGAAGCAAAAAACGAGGTCCTCATTTCATACTCCGCTGTATATTTTTAATTCTTATATATATATATATTGATATATATATATATACATATAAATATAAATATAAATATTTGTATTTAATTATTTATATTTTATATTTTTATATATTGTGTAAAAATTGTCATTTATTTTATTTATATTTGTTATTTATCCATTTAATCTCCTTGAATTTTTTTTCTTCTCTTTCTTCTCTTTTTTTTCTTTCATATATTTCATATTTTTAATCATATTATTCAATAATAATATTTTTGTTTCATCGACCATTCCGGTTGTTTTCCCGCAAATTTTTTTATTAGATTTCAATTAATTGCGGTTTGGTTTGAAAAATCAATAATATTAATCAAATAATATCAAAATAATATCAAAATAATATCAATAATAATAACAATAATAACAATATTAATCTTTTTAGTATATCAAAAAAGGCTTTTTTTTTGCCTCAAACAAGTAACGAAACAAAATAATAATCTTTTTTTTTTTTAATTACATATAGACTTAATTTCGGGTTTATTTTTAGAATTTAAACCAATTTAAACAATTTAAAACTATTGGATATCAAATATCACTTTGTATAATATTAACGATCAATTATATCAATTATATAACGTTTTAGTTAATGGAGTATATATCATTAATAATCTAATATAATACGAGAGAAAAAAAAAGGAGGAAAGAAAGAAAAAAAGAGCTAGTTAGTGATTAATTTTGTGTTTGTATGGAAAAGGAAGAATCGCCCTTTTCTACTTTTTAACGAGTGTCATTATTTCTTATTTGTCGCTCTTTAAGTTCGACTTTATTCCCAAAAAGGAAACCTTGTATACTTTCTATGCGTATTGACAAAGCATTTTAGACATCGTGTCACAAAAATTTACTTATAACAAATAAAATCTTTCTACGTCACTCTCATACAATCTTTAAGGCAGGAAAAAGCGAGGGGTTTACTGCTTAACATATTTAAAAAAATATTAACGCTTACCACTTACTGTGGTTCTTGGATTATCCACCGTTCGAGCAATATTCAGTCATTCTCAATAAACGATTCACCCAAAGTTATCTGTTCAAGTATTTTTAATACAAGGTATGTAAGATGACAAATAATATATCCAATAGTCTGACCGATGAAAGCCGTCTCTTTTTTTTTTCTCACTAAATCTTTAAACACAGCCTACATTGGCAAAAAAAAAATAACTATCAATCTTTTGAACATAAATTCTTTTTCTATTTTATTTTTTCTTTTAACAATATTCCTTTTTTCTTTTTCCTTTACAATTAAAATGTAGGTTGAATAAATATACAAACTCAACCAACGTATACGTCTCATCAGGTACAATCCTCTCCAGATGCTGTTATTTAACAACAACGAACATAAATACAAGTCAGTTGAGAATAATAAAGAATCAAGAGTAGTTGAAGATGACAAGCGCGAGAACGGTGGTAAGTATTTTGTAATTAATAATTCCTTAATCTAGAATAAAAAGAAATTCATTACAAACTTATAAATAAAATTAAATTTATCGCAATAAATAAAAATAAAATCCATATATTAGCATATATAATATATAATAATATGTAGAAAGATTAAAAATACTCCCAAGTTATTGTTTTATAATATTTCACTTTCAACCTCACTTTATTGTAATTTAAAATTAGATTCATTCTTTTATTCTCTTATCAGAATTAAATTAAATTAAAGAGAGGTTGAAATGGAAATTACATTAGAACTTAAAATTATAAACTACAGATTTTTAAAACTTGAATATATATCTTCTCTCTCTGTCAATATTATTGCATGAGCAAAATTTAATCAAATCTTGTTATTTTATTCTCCTCCTCCTCCTTCAATTAGATAATTCCATAATCCGCACACATTCAAGGCCGCCAACGCCAGCAAAAAAATCCTCATCATCCATGTCGACGCGAACTCGACGTCATTCCTTTATATCGCCCGAAGAAAAACACTTTTCTTCAAAAGGCATATCTTATAACATGCATCCAACCAAAGTTAAAACCACTGCAGATGCTGCCGCTGTGCTGGCTGCTTCACTCGCACCTCTTGCACCACACCTGAACTACGATAAAAAATCACACCATCAACATTCTCATAAATATACATCAGATGAAAAATCTCCAAAATCCCCCAAAAGAACATTAAAGCGTAGTATTAGTTTTAACCATTCTAATCGTCCAGTTTCACCCCGTCCAATGAACATTGACGTCGCTGAAGTATTAGCTACTACTGTTTCTTTTCTCCGTGAAAATAATAGAAAACTCGATTGGGTTTCGGATGAATTTAGAAATGATGGATTTAGTAGTGATAATGACTCTTACCTTAGCGATGACAGTATTGATTCCTGTAGTAACCCCGACTCCTATAATTCTGAATCCAATAAAGAACTTGTAAGTGATCTTAAAAGTCTAAGTTTCGAATTGGAATCAGTTAAACGAAGATATAGGGAACAAATTAATGGTAAAGATCAATTGATCGAAGGATTTAAACATACCCTGAAACAATTTGAAATAGACAATAAAAGGAAGGATGAACAAATCGAAGAACAATTGAGGAGAATCGAAAAGGATAAAAGAAAACGAGACCAACTAGAGATGCAACTTGATGCTTCAAGGAGTGCTATAGCTGAACTTGCTGAACAACGACAACAATTGCTCGCCTCCATAGATGTTGATCAAGTCAAAACTCTTGAACGTGAACTTGAAAATAAGAATAAAACAATTAATGATCTTAACGATCAAATCGCTAGAAACACAAGGGATTTAGATGAGAAAGAAAAGTTACTTAATGAACAACTTCAAAATTATCGAACACTTGAGGTTCAATTGAAAGATAATCAAAATCAACTCGATATTTTATCGAAAAAAGAATTAGATGTTACCGAAAAGGATTCTCTTATCGAATCTCTTAATATACGTTTAGACACTTCTCAAAAGGTTATTGCCGAATTGAGAGAAAAGCACGCTCCACATGATCTTTTAAGGCAGCTCCGACAAAAAGATTACATAATCGATAATCTTACCCAACAAGTTGAGAGCGTTGACGCAGATATGAAAGATAGAGATGATGAGATCGAAGCGTTGACCATTTCATTAGAAACTCAAAAGAAAAAATCAGAGAAATTAAAGGAACAAAACTCTCAGATAGAACCATTAAAAAAAAGTGTCGAAGAATCCGAAGAACTTATTCTTGACATTCAACAACAACTTTCCCAAAAAGAAAGAACTCTTGCTGACTTAGAAAGAAGATATAAAGAAGCTTCACGTAACTCTTTAGATGGTATGGATAGACTTAGAGCTCAAGATCAAACTATTTCTAACCTTCGCCGCGATATATTGCAACTTAGGCAAGCATTAACTGCGCAAGCTGCTGAAGTTCGTGAAAAAGACAGACTTCTATCTTCTCTGAGAGATGAAACCGTTCATGTACGTTCCAACTATCAGGGTCTCATCAACGCCCTTAATGAGAAAGACCAGAGAATTACTCAATTTGAGCAACTTTTAGAGAATCTCAAAAAAGAAAAAACCGAAGTTAAAATCGAATCACCAGAAAAAGAATTAAAGACTGGTAGTAAGAGTGAAGTTCGATTAAACGCTTTACAAAAGGTCTTAAACAATAAAATTGAAACTTGCAAAGATTATGAAAAAAAGATTTTAAACTTTGAAAAAGAGATTGAAGGTTTAAAAAAGATGATCGATGAATCAACTACCTCTAATTCTGAAAAAGAAAATAAAATGACTAGACTTGTTAAAATGAACCGTCAACTCAAAGATGAAATTACAGAAATAAAACAAAAAATGGAGGCGAAAGAACAAGAGTTAATTACTATAAAATCCCGTATTCCCATGCCTACTTCTTCAAAATCTCCAGCATCTTCAGTAAGATCCCTAACCAAAACTCCTAAATCCCGAGTTTCTTCCATGTATAGCGTAAGTGGTGGTGAGAGCAGCAGTGATGAAACGGCGAATGGATCTCGTATACGTAGAAATCCCAGTTTAAGTGGATTGAGTTCAGCTTCAAACACCTCAACCAGAAGACTTTCAGATAGTACCCGTCCCATCTTAACAAGAACAAGATCTTCAGCTTCTACCACTTCATCTTCTTCGTCAATTCAAAGTGCACGAAGAAGTAACCTTTCAACACTTTCTAAAACAAGAACTTCTCCTTCTCAAAGCACTGTAGATGTCCTTAAAAAGAAGCGTGATTCTACCATTACCCCTAAAAAAGAACCGAGTCCTATTAATCGTTCCGCTGTCAACCAAAGAAAACGTGACATGGTAGTTTTAAATACTATGTTAAGTGGTGTCTCTCCCGATAGAAAAAACAAAACATCAACACTTTCAACCCAAAATAAGGTTAATGCTAAAAGCGGCGTAGCAAAAAAGAAACTGACCGATGTATCCAGTGATAGTGAACGTGAAGCTAAAAGTGGATTGACAAAAAAACCCTCCAACGATTTAACTACTATCATGGAGAAATTTTGTAAAAGTGATGATTCTACAGTAAAAGGTACCAGGTCAAAAGCTATCAAAGTTGCTAAACCCCCGACCTCGCCAGTAAAGACTAGAACTTCTTTGGTCAGACCTCTACCTTCAAAGAAACCACCAACTGTGTGAACAAAAAATTCACACTTCACAACCACCTAATTTTGAGATTAGATGCTTTATTTATACCTCTTTGTTAAAGAAGGTAGAGAAAAAAAAACCATTTTTGAGATACGATTAATTTTATTTTTATATATCTTTATTTATAACTATCTCATTTTGGTTGGTATTGGTTTCTGTCATGTTATATCTTGTCCATCTTTGCGTTCTAATTCCCATTTTTATATTATGTGGGTCTACTGGATAGACAAACACGGTCAGGATATAATTCTTTCGTTTAATTATAAACAATATATTAACCCAAATCTTTTCAAATTTCTTGTTTTTTCTCTAGTTGGGTTTTATTCTTTTATTCTTTGTTTTTTGTTATATTTTGCAAAAGCAGATGTTGAGGGAAAAAAACCGCAAAAAAAAGAGTAAAAACACGAAAAAAATCACAAAAAAAAACCACAAAAAAAAAAGATATCATTTTATTGGATCTTTAATATAATCAAAAAAAAAAACACTTGTGAGGGCTGTTGTACATAAAATATCAAAGTTTTATATTTCATTTTTTTTTATTTTGTTTAGTCTTGTGTTTTTTTTTTTTTTTTAATCTTATACTTTAGTTGGTTTTTTTAATACATTCACTACTCAAATTCTTTTAATCTTTATTATGCATCTCATTCTTCACCTCCCTCCCTTATTTCTTTCATTACTATTTTTATTTTCTTTTATGGTTTCAAATATATATAATATATACAAAAATTTTTCTTTTTTTCATAAATCATTATTATCAAAATAAAATATAACAAAAGAGAGAGAGAGGCAAGAGACAGAGAAAGCCAAAAAAAAAAGTTAAAACGAATAATTCAATTATTGCTTATTTTCAAATGTTAATTTTTAATTGAAATTGGTTTTCCTTAATATCGATTTTCGTATGTCACCTGCTAAACTATGTACCAATAAAATTTTAAAATTCTGGATTAGGATAATATCATTTAGGAGATAAATAGAATTAATTCTGCGTGCACCCATTTATTATTTTCTGAGTATAAAAAATAAAGTTATAATAATTATTAAATATATTCATTTAAAAATTTTAGGAAATGACTACTCAAAAAATTTTTGGAATGAAAATTGAAAGAAGTTTGGAATAAAACTTACTATTTTTTAGACCTCAATATTTATAAAACAATTATTCAGCGAGATGATTCATCTCTTACTCAACTTGAAAAGGATTTTTTATTTATTGAATTACAAAAAGTAGATGATCCACCCAGAATTGGTAATAATAAAGTAGAAAAACAACAATGTAACGATTGTCAAAATTGGCATCAAGCAATCCAATACTGTGATTTTGTATTCGTAAATGCTTAAAAAATGATTTTAAAAATTGAACATCTGAAAATAATGAAATTGACAAATTAATTCAAAAAAAAAAACCGTATCACCTGAAAGTATAATTGGATGGATTTGTTATAATCAATTTAAGAATATAAAATATCTTACAGAAGAAGGATATGCTACTATTTATACTACATTTTGGAAGTATGGGTACTATAATAAATGGAATCCTGATAAGATTAAAAGATTAAATAATTCAAATAGTAATAATGTGCATTGGTTTCAAGAAGTAAGTTAAATTATTATTATTATATTAATTTCTGTTTAATAATTATATATATTAATTGGATGTATATTTGTTAGGTGAAGTTTCACAATTTTAGTTATCTTGCCAAATGTTATGGACTTACCAAAGATCCATTTACTCAAGATTATATGTTAGTTTTATTATATTATGCTAAAGATTTAAGACACTTTTTAATAGATAATCATTACTCTCTTACTTGAATACAAAACTATAGAATTATTTATTAATTTAAAAATAGTTCATTCCAAAAATATAGTACATAGAGACTTAAATTCTGGAAATCTTTTATATTGTGCATATACCTTTGAATGGAGCATTAGTAATCTTGGATTTAGTGGACCAGTTGACAAGCTATTAAATAGCATTTATGGGAATCTCCCATATATTGCACCTGAAGTTCTCTGTGATCAAATTTATACAACTAAATGTGAGATATATATAGTATAGGTATATTAATGTGGAAGTTAGCAACTGGCAAAACTCCTTTTGGTAACCATGAACATGATTTAGATTTATTACTTGTCATAGTCAAAGGATATCAACCAAAAATAAATGAAGATATTCATATTTCACATGAATAAATAACTTTAATAAAACAATGTTGGAATGCTAATCTTGATAATAGACCTGATGCACATAAAATTATTAATAAAATAAAATTATTAATTAAGTCATTATATGAAGAAATGGATAAACAACAAAAATTAACTATTAAATCTAAAAGTTTAAAATCAAAAATCAAAAATATTTTCAAATCAACCTTAACAAAAAATAAAAATGATCATGAAATTACAAATGCTCAATTTATCAAAAACTCAAGCACAAAAAGTAAAATAAACAGAATTTAAACCAGTAAGGTACATACAGTACATATGATATTTCAATTCTACCTAGGAATTCCACTGATGGTAAATATATTCTGTTATTATTTTTTATTTTTTTTTTATAATTTTAATTATTTTTTTATTTTATAGAACACTATGGTAAATTAATTGTTATGTCTTAGTGAATTATTATTTATTTAATCAATACTAAAATAATATTATCATCAAATTTATATATTTAGCATTTGAATTCAAATTTGAAATTTCCAAAGGTAAAAAATTATTTTAACTTGTTAAATGAGGTTGGTTGATATTTTGTTTAAAAAGATTTAATTTATTATATTATTCTTTGTAACTATAGAATCAGAAAATTCATACAGTACACTGGTCGAATTATCAAAAATCGGTGACGATTCATGCCATAAAATCAGCTAAAATCGGCTGTCTGATTTGCAAATCGGCCATCCGATTTTTGGACGATTTTTGATAATAAAAAAGAAAAAATCGATAATTTTTACTTTTATTAGTAAAACATCAAAAGTGTTACTAAGTAAACTCATAGCTAAGAAAGAAATGCATCTACTGAAAAAATTTTAGTCCTAAAGATTGCAAATTAAAGGAAAGATGAACATTTAAATTTTGACTATCCGTTCAAAATCTAAATTCCTTAATTTGCGAGCTTTAGGTCTAAACGTTTTTCAGTAGGTGCACTTCTTTCTTAGCTATAGGTTTACTTAATAATGTTTTTACAATTTAGTTATAAAATTATATGTGGCTACGATCGCCGATTTTATATATAATTCAATATTATATACATATATATTATATATAAAATCGGTGATCGTAACCACATATAAAAGTTTTTAATTTTATAACTAAATTGCAAAAACATTACTAAGTGAACCTATAGCTAAGAAAGAAATGCACCTACTAAAAAAATTAGACCTAAAGCTTACAAATTAAGGGAAAGGTAGGCATTTAAATTTTGAACGGATATTCAAAATTCAAATGTCTATCTTTTCTTTAATTTGCGAGCTTTAGGTCTAAAATTTTTTCAGTAGGTGCTTTCCTTTCTTAGCTATGAGTTTACTTAATTCGTTTTTGATGTTTTACTAATAAAAAAAGTAAAAACGATCGATTTTTTTCTTTTTTACTATCAAAAAAATCCGATTTGCAAACCAGACAGCCGATTTTCAGGCGATACGCAAATCGTCAGCCGATTTTACGGCGCGAATCGCCAAAAATTTGCCGATTTTTGATCATTCGACCAATGGTAATTATGATAATTTATAATGTGTTAAATTTAATTCTTTTTTATCCTAGATAATCAAGAATATGGACTTGATGGTCCTTCAAATTCAGGTTCCCAATTTTTATTTTTATTATTCATAAAGATCTGGTATTTCATTTTCATCATTTTCAAGTTTCATTGTATATCTTATTATTTAAACATTTAAGTTATTATTTTTAAATTATAATAATTGTATATTTAAATTTTCAAAAATAATTATTGAAATAATTTCAGAATTTCAAATTAATATAATTAATATTAATATTTGAAATGTAATAAATTATTTTTACATCTAGTAAAAAGGTTAAATAAGTTAATTTTGAATTAAAACAATCCTTTATTTCCTATATAAATTGTTGTCATTAATCACTTTCTAAAGTTCAGATCAATGAAATAGTGTAATTGATAAATTGTTTTTCAAGCCAGATCATGTCTAACGAAATTAATTAAAAAGTTACACATTCAAGTGTTTATTTTGGAATTTTCGAAAACACATTTCGCATAAATTTAACTATACTTGTAACTGACACTACGAAGAGATCTAACCAAATATGAGTCCAAGCCATCACCACATGGCAAATCTCGTAGACTCCACGACCCCCTCAAAATCGACATCGATCTCAATACCAACATTTTAACGTTGACACACCAAAACTAAAGTTTACAAATTATTTGCCATTGGGATTCCATTATTTTATATTATTTGAATAATCAAGTAGAATGATGCACACCTTCGAATTAATGTGAAAAGGTATCAAAATGGTAGGGGTCTTGTGAAATCAAAGTTCTTTTCATCTTTCCTTCACAGTACTTGTTCGCTATCGGTCTCTCGCTGATATTTAGCCTTAGGTGAAGTCTGCCACCCATTTTGAGCTGCATTCCCAAACAACTCGAACGAATATTAGGTATCTTGATCTGAACATGCACGGGAAAAGAGAACCTTCATAATAAGGTGCTTTCTCACCTCTTCATAATGTTTCTGAAAAACTTTCCAAGAATTAGGTTCATTTGCAAAAATCGTTTTAAATTCTATGAAACGAAAAAGTGAAGATATAAGGTGAAGGAAAAAACGTGCATCGCTTTCTTATATCATCACATGGATATAGAGATAAATTATATTACACAAAGCTTTTATAAGTTTATTATTTATACCGTTTTGAATTTACGGATCAACAAAAAATGCTTATCTCCCGTCGATCCATTACTTCGGAACAATTTTGCAATAACTACTTATTATTCAATTGTATTATCTATATAATGTGAATTAATGCAAGTCTACTAGTCAAAAATTCAGAATTTATTTGGAATTAAGAGGGGAAAAACCAAACCCTTGAATCAAAGAAAAAATACTTGACTATTTTCTTTCAGGATTGACATTAAAAAAATTTATCATCTCTCAAAACAAATGGTCACAATTGAAGTTTGACATAAATAATGATACAAGAAAAAATTTGAAATTTATTAATTGAGAAATTCACTAAGTGGATTGTATTACATTCCAACGGATAAATAGGAAACAAGAACAAATGTTCAGATGATCTCATCAATTCTGAAAAATATTTTAATCTCAGTACCAAGCAGAGATGGGCAGAGAGTCATTAATGTAGACTCCTTTGATACTTAACAGGTTATAAGATTTAAATAAGGGTGATCAAGTTTTGATCAACTTTGGACAAGGTTAATTGGTATATTTGTATTGGAAATTACTTTTATTATAAATCTTAATATTTTTTATCAGTATATGTTGATTTGTGAGACACTTTATTAAATATAAATTATCGCGTCTTATTTAATAAAATTATATTAATATAATTATGTAAATCAAGTGTCTATTATTTTTGATAATGCATATATCAAGATGTTAATAAACATAAATGGAAATGAACCAAGAAAATGACCAAAATACATGGTTAAAAAAAATAAAATAAAATAAAATAATAAAAAAAAATGATATCTTTCTTAATATAATTATGGTTCTAAATAATTATACTTATTACCTGAGTTTGAAATAAACTGTAATTCTACAATTAAGTTTTTTTAATCGTTTACAGCTTCAATCAGGGCCCTTTAGATTTGAAGGGTGAAGCTATGGTGGAAGTTTGTGTTTGAGGAATACCATTACGATTATCGATAAAGACTCCAACGGCAGTTACCTCATGACTAGGGTTATGTAGAATTATATTACTTGATTTATCCGTTCCTTCGCTTGTTTTTATGTTGACATCACTTGAATGGCCAACAGTAGTAGTAGTAGTAGAAGTTTCGATAGTTATAACAGGTTCACCTAGAATTTGAATATCACTATCAGTGTAATTACTCCCACTTACAATATTAATATTACTATTATTACCACCGCTATCATTATTATTATTATTATTATTATTTTCATTATTTTCATTATTATTATTATAATTATAATTATTATTATTACTATTATTATTATTATTATTATTATTATTATTATTATTATTATTATTATCATTATTATTATTATTATTATTATTAATCAGGATTTCTGATAAATTTGGATTTAAGCGTCTTCCAACAGCCAAGCGGTGGCTTTTGTATTTAAGATGATTTTCGAAATTTCCCAATGTATGATCAGGCCCTGGTTGATATAGTTTTCCAGGACAATCATAACATTTAATACGAAATTCATTTGGATGATTATTGGATCGTAAAGTAATACCAAAACAATCATGGGGATACTTTTCTTGCAATTGGTCGCGTTGCTGAATAATCCATTCTGGGAAAACCTTTAATTATAAAAATTATTTGTTCATATTCAGGATAAAAATAGATATTATTGAACAAAAAAAAAATGGTTCAGGATATAATTTACTTATAATGAATTATGACATGAAAATAATTAAATTTAAAACCTAAACACGGTTTTTTTTTTGATCTTTTTTACAAAATTAAAAAAAATTATGGAAATTTACCAATTTATTTGGTAGCGATACATTGGGAACGGTTGTATTTGACGAGGTTGCAGTTGCGGTCGCATTAGATTCAATAATATTTACAGAATTAGCAGTATTTTGATAAGTTGGGGGAGCTGTTGCCTTAGAAATTAAGTTTGGGATATAAGGTGTTGTAATCACAATTTTAGGGTTAAGGGAATTCATAGATATTCCACTAGATTCTATTAAATTTTTATTATCTTGATTTTTTATTTCTTCTTGTGAAAGTAACTGTTTCTCTACTAAAGTGTTGGATGATTGTTGATCATCCAATAACTCAATGCGTACTGATGGATTTTGTCCAATAGTCGTAGTAGGCATAGATTGAGTATAGGATACAGGATTATCCTGAAGGTTCTTTATATGTTGTAAACTATTTGTTGAAATGGAGGCAATCGACGAAGAATTATTTTCCGTAAGTAGTAGATTGGTACCGACTTCGTTCGTATTTAGAGGATTTGGCCGAAGTGAATTGTTCTTTTGAAAGTAGAGGCCTGACGATTAGGAAAAGTTCGACGTGTGTGAATGGCATACAAATTTAATCGACAGAGGAAATGTGGCCAAGTTACGCGGTAAACTCTTCGGGATTACTCCAACCATTATTTGCACTCTCGGACTTACCGCACGCGTTACATAGCGTCTAAATTTGTTGTTTTTTTCAGTTTTCGTTTTTCATTTTTAAAAGAAACTTTTAAATTTATAATATTTGTAAAAATTCGTTACCTTTTCACCATTAGGACCTTTTCGTAATAATGGAGTTGATGTTAAAGAACATCCACAACCATCGCATTGCCATTCCTCTGATTCATTCTTTGCTGTTCCTGTCAAATTTATTGCATACAAAATACATACATATATATATACATAATTTCATTTTCAAAACAGTTTAATAAACTATTAATATAGACTTAACTTACTTCGGTGAGGTTTTTTTGTTCCTTCCTTCGATTCTTTAGGGGGGCTAAGACCCACCGATCCGGATCTTCCAAAACTGTTTATATCGGTGAAATCTGGGGTGTTTACCTGAATACCTCCACGCAGATTGCTTCCAACATTTGCACCTGTACGTCCGCGTCCTTTAACTTTTCCTGAAGAAGAAGTGGAAGCTTTTTCAGATATTGCAGAATAATTATCATATCCCATAGAACTTGCTTTACGTTGTACGGGTGGCATCCCAGAAGAAAGAACCGTTAGAAAACCAGTCTCATCTGTTGGATCCGAAATAGTTATAGTATTATGAAGAAGGGTACGATGAGTTTTTGGTGGTTCCCGATCTGGTAAGATAACGCCACGTCTTCCACGTGTCTGACGTCTTTTTCGTCTAAAGGATTTAAACGTAACGGTTATATAAAAAATAAGAGAAAATTTTATAATTATAATGATGATTATAATAATATAAATTCTTAAAAATATTACTAATGTAACTGTGAAGAAATGCAAAATTGTTCAATATGTTATGAATAATATAATAGCATAAAAATTATATATATATATATAAATGATGTAGGGAAATAAATAATAAAAATTAAGAATTAATAAAAATATAAATAAAATTCAACCTAGCGTCTCTTTCCCTGTCTTTCTCAATTTTGTCAATCTCAGCTTCCGTTAATTCGACTAATATTGGTGTATGTTGGTCTACTGAGTCTTCCTTTCGAATAATATTTGTGATGGGTGGCAAAAAACTTTGCCGGAGATCGTCATCTTGAACTGGGGATCCATCAAAAGGATGACCAACCAAAATTAGTGATTTTACATATATTTGTACCTGTTCGCGGATAGCATGTGCGATAGCAGTCCTATATATTAAATACATATATAGTTTAGAATATAATTTTTTTTTGTCAAAAGTAAACCAATATAAAGGAATAAATAAATCAACCTACTTAAATTCACCCCCTAATCCCAATTCGGTTGTCAAAATTTCCGCAAATAATTCTGGATCATTTTTTGGACAATTAATATCCCATTCAAATTGATCAACCAAAGATATATTACCAACTGTCACGTCTATCTACAAGAAGATATATTTATGTGTACAAAAATTATCATAAAGAAAAAATAAAAAATAAAATATTTTTGTTTGTAAGTCAAACATACCTTTATTAAAATGCGTAACTCTTCGTGAATAATACTATCCTCAAGATTATTATTCAATAAAGTGGATTCATTGTTGTTATCATCTTCACATTTAACAATATCCAATTTTACATTATCTGACGATTTGATTAAATTAGCAAATGCATCAACGTCTAACTTGCATTTGGTTGGCTCCGTAGAATGTAAAGGGTTGAGAATATATCCTTGTATTTGATCACGCATTTGTTTGACAATTAAAGGAACAAATGTTGAAGATGGGAAACGTAAATCATCACATAGAACTTCTGCAAAATGTTCAGGTGTAATGAAAGTTTCTATTTGGAGATAATTTAAAATATTAGAATTGAAAAAATAATTAAATCTAGATTTTAAAAAAATAAATGACATTAATTTAGCTTTTTTAAAAATATTATTTGATGTGACCACCATTCATGTTCCAAGTAAATGTATCTCTCAATTTATAACCATCCGCTCCATCGATTTCTAATCGGATCGGAATTAATATATCATCTTTCTCCGAAATTTCCTTCAATTGTCGAGTAGAACTAGTTGAATTAGGGGGAACAAATAATTAATACACGTAATAAATATTGGTTTAATTTTTTATCGTTAATTAAATAAATAAATACATACAATTTAAATTCTTTGGTTTTTTTATGTCTTTTTCTATCGTTTGGATATATAATTCTAAATTTTGTCCCAGTGAATCCGTTCCCATATCCTTCATATCCTGGACCAAATGATGAAAGTCGATGCCTGTGTTCGGCTTGTGTTAATTCTGTACGTTTATCGATCACAATAATCGTTTGCCTTTTCATTTGAAGTTCTAATGCCCTTTGATAAAGGATATCACGACGAACGTATTGTTCAAGATATTGTTTTTGAACGGGTGTAAGATCTGGTGCAGGTTCATATCTTACACTAGTAGATGATGAATTGGTTTTTTTTGTGGGAACATCATTACCAGTTGGCTTTTGCGATTGTTGTTGTTGTTGTTGTTGCTGCTGTTGCTGCTGTTGCTGCTGCTGCTGCTGCTGCTGCTGCTGCTGTTGTTGTTGTTGTTGTTGTTGCGAAGGAGGTCGTTGATGAATTTGTGTAGATGCCGCATGTTGAATTTGTGGTCTTCTCAAGTGTTGTTGAATCATTTGTTGCTGTTGTTGATGTGTTTGTTGTGCAGCAATACGCATTCTTTGTCGTTGTACTTGTAGTTGTTGTTGTTGTTGTTGATTCTGCATTTGTTGTTGCTGTTGGTATTGTTGACGTTGTTGTTGTTCTTGAATTTGTTGTTGTTGTTGTTGTTGAATAGACATCACGGGTCTAGGTACCATTTGTCCTAATGCACGATTGAAATTATGTTGTGGAAAATCTAAACCCATACCATTGATATTACCTTGAGACTGATAGTTTAACATATTTGAATTATTATTATAAACAGGGTTATTTATAGCTGAGATGGGTGGCATTTGATTAGCGGAGGTTGCAGGTAAAGACTGACGATTTTGAAAAATATATTGGTTTGCAATATTAGCTCCATTATCCCCCAACTGTTGAATGTTACGGTTATTTATTGTCCCATAATTTCGTGAATGTTGTGATTGTTCAGACATCATATTCAAAGGACTTTGATTAGCTTGATTAGCTTGAAGTTGTGAGTTAAAATTATTTGTATATTGCTGCGGTTGAGTTTGTTGCTGTTGTTGCAACAAGGCAGGATTATTTTGAAGTGAATTTGCGGCATATCCACCTTGTTGTTGTTGATTCATGGATGGCAATGAAGAATATGAATCCATGTACTTTTTTTTTAAAAAAAAATACAGAAATATATATATAGCTGATAGATCGTCTTTTAGTCATGTGAATTTGATAAAATGAAAATTCACATAATCCTGCATATAATATTATAATATATTTTTTTTTAATAATGTTTATTCTTAAAGATAATATTCGAACAATTTCTAAGAATAAAATTTTGCGATGTTTTATATCACGGAACTTCAACTTTCATACAATAAATCGTGATTCTAATACCATTATAATCAATCATAAAAACTTTAGGAATAAACAAGAATTCTTTCCAAAATTAAATGGTTTAAGAAACATTCGAACGACCGTTGATAACAAACGTTCTTTACAATATCCACCATATTCTCATTATGAACGTTTCGATAATGCAATTCCTTTCTATCAAAAGCGAAACTTCTGGTTGTGGACTAGTGGTTTAGGGGGACTTTCCGGTATTTATTACGTTAGTCATTTGGAAACAGTCCCAATTAGTAACAGACGACGGTTTATGGATGTCACACCTAAACAAGAAGAACTTATGGCACAACAAGCATTTAAACAAGTTAAATCTCATTATCGAAATAAAATTTTGCACCCGTCGGATCCTCTTGTCCGTGCCGTAAAAAAGGTGGCAGCGCGAATCATAAAAGTTAGTGGAATGCAAGGTTTTATAGTTCTAAGTCATTCGTCTTTCATAGTAGAAAAGAAAAGAAATAAAAATATAGAAAGTATTAAATAATTCTTGATTTCGAAATTTCAAAACGTAGATCTGGATTGGGAAGTATTTGTTATAGAATCCTCGGAACGAAATGCATTCGTTTTGCCAGGAGGAAAAATATTTGTTTTTACCGGGATTTTGGATATTACAAAAAATGAGAATGGCTTAGCAGCCGTTTTGGGTCATGAGGTCAGATTTAGTAAAACTACTTTAATTTATTCACTTTTTGTTTCTTTTCTTTTTTTTTTTTTGTTGTAATATTAATATTAATGAAAGAAAATATCTATTCAAAGGTCGGTCATCAAATTGCACGCCATAGTGCGGAAAAACTTTCATTCTTCAAAATTGTCATGCTTGGACAAATTTTTTTAAGTTTATTAATTGATCCTGGATTTATTGGTAGTCTTCTTTTCAAGTTTGCAATATTGTAAGTCTTTCCTAATTTCATTTACAAATTTGCATTATTATTTTCATTATTTATTTATATTATTTATATTATTTATTTTACCGATGAAATTTTTTATTTCAGTCTTCCATTCTCACGGAAATGTGAAATCGAAGCAGATTACATTGGTCTTCTCTTAATGGCACAAGCTTGTTTTGATCCTAGGGAAGCAATAAAAATGTGGGAAAGAATGGAACAAGTATCAAAAGGTATTCCACAATTTTTAAGTACTCACCCTAATCACACAGCCAGAATACAAAAGATAGAAAAATGGATGCCCGAGGCATTACATAAAAGAGAATTAAGTGACTGTGAACAACTGTACGAAGGTTTTAGAGATTATGTTAACCGGTATGGACCACAATGGGTTAGATTTTAACGGTATATATTATTATTATAATTATCATTGCACCAAAAAAACTTGTACAGTATATCAGATATAATGGTTTTTGTTCATCAAATTTCTTTTATTTATCATAATAATGTAATAATTGTAATAAATTGTAATAATTAATATAATTAATGTACATAAATAAAATCATATCTCTCGATTAATCTTTAAAAAATCAAAAATCACACGAAACACAAAATACAAAATCCATGCGATTTCCATAAATGAATATGTGACATTTGAAAAATATACACTTAAAAATATAAAGTATGTAAAGTGACAAAATCGAATGAAATCATCGATGACAAAGTTCTAACAATATATATAATAAAATAGATAAAACTGTTGAAACTAATAAATTTGAAGATGAAATCTTTACCCATATTTAGCTTACAATATGCAAAATATGCAAAAAGCGTGGTATATAGATAACTTTAAATTTACTCGTGACATAGGTAATAGTCTAAATATATATTTCAACCCTTTTTTGGTATTCCCGAAAAAATAATAATTCGAAAATTCATATTATCTAGTGGATAGTTAAGGTCAACTCATATTTACACACATATAATTTAGAATAATGATCGTCATCAAATCTATGTATATAATTTACTAAGTATTATTACGTTAAAGAAAAGCATCTAAAAATATTTTTCATTAATCACGCGTTAAAAATAATTGTACCAAGATGACACGATCTCTAAGAATTCTCGTAAATAGTTTTTAAATTTGGACAAATAGGTTTTTTTTTCTCACATGATTCATTCAAGATACAAAAAGGTAATTATTTTTTAATTTAAATAGGACTTTTATGGAGTCAACGTAAAAATTGTTACGTTGGTTATTTGGATTTTAAGAATGAGATATGTGAATATTAGGAATTTTCTTTGCAATGTCAACATGAAATAGAAACAATAGAAAATAATTTAATTTCTGCACCATCAATTATTGTTAAAAAACAAAAAAATAATCTTGCAACACAAGTCCATCAATTTGTCTGGCATTCAATAACATATAATTTTTCATTTCCTATATCATATTACGGAATTGATAATATGACAACACATAACTTAAACAATTTTAATTTTTTGAATTAGCAGCAAAATTAGAATGTAAAGAAGTATTTACATGGGGTTCAAATATGTGATGGAGCAGGAGAAAACTGGACTCATATAAAAAGTTATGATTGATATACATCAAAATGGACAAATGGAAATGTAGTAGAAGTTAATTTTAATAAAGATAAGAAATCTTATCATGCAGCAAAAAAATCATAGATAGCAATTTTGAAAAAAACAAGATTTAATGTAATTCCACTTGAAGATAATAATTTTGAAATAATTAATATTGAATTAACATTTATTTGTTCACCAAAATTGGAATGGAAAATTAATGATGAATGTGAGTTTAAGAATCCAAAAAAATGGCAATGATATTTAGGAAAAGTTGTTGATTTAAATTACTTGATTTAATTATAGAAATTATAGAAAAATGGAAAGTCTTCAACCAATATATTAATAATTTTCTTCAACCTGTTTACAATATTCAAGAACTTTCAACAAGTCATAAAACCATAAATCAAATTACTGGAGAAGATTAGTTTTTATTAGTGATCCAACACATGTTTTCAAAAAACCCAGAACAATTTATCAAAAAGTTATATTGGAGAAATGAATTCTTGTGAGATAATGTTCAATAAAAAAGAAATTAGTTGGAAACATTTAAGAGGTGTTTATGATCATACAAATTTACACGCAATAGCAAAAGCAATGAAATTAAGTTGAAGATGCATTAGCATTTATTGAAGAGTTAAAAGAAATATCAATAGAACAAGAGTATGTAATTTGTAAATTTTTACTATTTTTTAAAAAAGATTATTAATATTTAAAAGAATTTTATTGAATATATAGACAAATAAATGCATAGCAGAATTAATTTTTTCAATCTTTAATGATTGGTTTATATGGTTGATAAACAGAAAAGAATGGATTTCACAATTTGATTTAATTTTATCAATTGATGGTTTTCTTGAAATGCTTACACTTTTATTAAAAAAAGTATCCAAGATGTATTTCACAAGATATACTTGAAGGTCTTTTTGGAACAATTCGAGAATTAAGAGGAGATTCTTCAACACTCGAGTCTTATAGTCACACATTAAATAAGTACTAAAATCGCAAAAAAAAAAAAATTTATATAATAAAAAATATTTGTGTAACGGATTGTTAATTTCAAAATTATTACAATTGTGTAACTATGAGTTGTCCCCCCCATAGTTTAGATATTATACTAAAAAATCATCTGGCATGCGATCGCCTATTCCATAAATATTGAGTTACCTTCAACTTTTCGAAATTTATTATTATATTTTTTTTTTCTGCAAAACATTTATAAAAAAAAAATTTTTTTTTGTATAAGCTGATAATAGCTTTTCATTTTTCCGAAAAAAAAAAAAATTCAATCACAAAAAATATTATTTTATAATAAATCAAAAAAATAAAAAAATACATAGATAAATAAAAAAAAAATCATGGAAAAATTTGATATAAGCAAACATTTTTATTTCATATCAAGTGAAGAAAGAGAAAGTAAGATTAAAAAAAAAAAAATCAAATGTAAAGATTATTTATAAATTTGACAAACTTATTTCATTTATTATAGGAGCGAAAAACGTTCAACAAAAACCAGAAGATTCGGCAGGATTGTCAATAGAATATATAGATATTCCAGAAGAAACCTCACCGATCCGTACAGAGTGGTTAGAATCTAATAATAAAGCCGAGATTTTAAAAAGATATTATGATCGGTTCGTCAAACCGATTGTAGGAAAGGAACAACAATTATCAAATATAATATTTACAGATATTGGTAATTATTATAATAATTACTGAAAGGAATTATAATAAAATATTTAATTATTATTATTATAATTATTATTATTATTATTATATATTTTGTGATATATAATTATGATATAGATATATTTGTATATATTATATATATATATATATATTATATTATATATTTTGTGATATATATATATTTCATAATTGTGATATGATTATATATTTGTGATATGTATATATTTTTTCCGAAATTAGGAAAACCAAAGATAATGCCAGGCAATCAATTAAGGAAAGCAATAAAACATCAAAGATTAAGGTATGAAAAAATACCACGTACCGAACCAATAGAGTGGAACTTTTTGGACACGAAGGTTAAAGGACCGATTCTAGGAGTAAGTCTCTTTTTTATTGGATTATTATATTTATATATTATAAATGTTTTTTGTTGTTTCGTTGGATTTAGGGAGAAGCCTTTAAATTTTTTGATACATAGTTCAATCCTGAAGAATATGGTATTGAATCATTGACTTTGGAAAAAAAATCAACACAAAATTATAATAATATTAACAGCGATCATATTGTAACCATAACAGAATCTGGTACGCACTGTACGTACTATAAAATATATATTTAATTATTATTGAAGTCTTTGAAAATGATTCTGATCTTTTTTTTTTTTTAATTCATTTTTTATTGCGACATAATCATAAATAAATAGTAGATTCCAGTAATATGTATGATGAAAGGTCGCTCGAGAAGAAGAAAGTTAGTTTGCACGTGCGATTAATTGTTATTAAATAATTATAACTTTTATAATTAAATTAAAATTAAAAATAATTTTAATAAATAGAAGAAAAAACACAAGCATGATTCTGAACATGGAGAAAAGAAACGTAAACACAAAAAAGATGGGGAACATAAGAGAGATAAAGATGGAGAACATAAAAAGAAGAAAAGAAAAAAGGTTGGTATTTTATTAATATAAATCTTTAAATCTGTTCTTTGTTTATCTCTCTTTTTTTTTTAGCATGTTTTTGCTGCATGAGAATTTCTACACTGGTCATTTTTTTGTTCATCGATCTACAACAATCATTCAGGAGAAAGAAGAACATTGAATACTTTACTACTACTACTACTACTACTACTACTACTGCTACTACTACTACTACTAGCCTCTCGACATACGTTTCCGAAATTATTGAAAATTGCTGAAATTATTTGCTGTCATCTACGTGTGGAATTTATTTTTTGTATTTTTTTTTTTTTTTATTATTTTTATTATTATTATTTTAATTCGTAGTTTGGTGATTAATTCTTCAAAAATAAAAAAAAATAAAAAATAATAATAATTCTATATCTTCTTTTGTACATATTATTCAAATAATCAATTTAATAAATCCTATAAATTCTAGAATATTTTTTCTACAATTTCAGAAATGTATTATTGTAAATTATATAAATTATATTAAATTATATATATATATAATATATTATTATTATTATTATTTATAATAAATATTATATATATTTTTATTTTATATGCATCACATGATAAAACGATTAAAAGTAACTTTCTATTTTCCAATAAAAATCTAGAATATATTATTATATAAATATGAAGCTTTCATATGACGATTAATCTTTCAGAAAAGTTGGCATTTATTATTATAAAGACAAACTAAATTATACTACAAATTATCATTGTTTGAGTTGTGAATAAAAAAAAATATTACAAATTTAAAACAATTTAAAATTGTTGGCAAAATAATTGAGAAAAAATAATGCATTAATTATTCCTGTACACTCATTGATACAAAATTATCATTACCACCACCACCTACATTACTATTATTACTGCTGTTATTATTATTATTATTATTACTTTCTTCCTCATCAGTGTCTTTCATTAAAGTTATACGATGTTGAGATGACATTAATAATTCATCAAGAATTGAATATATCTTATTGGTTAAACCTTCAAATTGTCCAATCAAACTTCTAACTTGATCTGTAGAAATATCTCTCAAACTTTCCAAATAAGCTCGAGTAAGATCATCATCTTGAAGATCATTTTCAGATATTGAAATTACTAATACTTGTAAGATCTTTAATATAGCAAGAAAGAAGATAATTAGTTTTAAAGTTGTTCAAATAAATATAAAGAAAGAAAAGAACATAAATAAAGAATACAAAGAAAGGAAGAAAGAAAGAAAAATTATAAATAAATAAATAATAAATTTTGTATAATAATTGTCACACATACCAACACTAGTTCTTGAATTATAGAATTAACTGAATCTAAATTATTGATTTCGAGATTTTCTTTTAATATTTTAACATTTGTGGCAAGTTGTTGAATATGTTTCGAAATTATTGGTTGAATAACATCCGGTTTACTAGCTTTGACCTATAATAATATATGATATAAATGATATAATATTATATATATATATATTAAAAACATTATAAAATACGAAAGAGAGATATATATATGTGTGACATAATATTGAGTCTTAAAAAGAAACTTACAATGCTCACTAATGATTTGAATATTGATAATTTTTCCGGTGGAAGAGTAAATAAAACTCTTGAATTAGAATTTAAGATTCGTTCTACTAACATTGCAAAGTAGGCATGACTGTATGCGTTTTTGACTTGTTCATTATGTGAAAATTTTTCGTAAATTTCTAAAAGTATATCAAATATACGTTCGACGTCGATGTCCATCATTTCAAGAACAATCAGTGAACCTATATAAAATAAATAAATAATGATAATAATAATAATAATAATAATCCTTGAATTAATAAATATTTTATGAATGAGATTTAATAGATAAATAAATATATATATATATATATATATATATTTTAACTTACAAAGTTGTATCACTTTATCATACTCTTCCAATTCTATGCCAGTAATAGACGTTTGTTCTACTACTAGCAAGTAAGGATTATATAATTTTTCTTGCAATCGTTTTATTTCATCCCTTTTCAGTTTCTGCATAAAAGGTCTATAAACATGGATTGAAGGACCAGATAGTGAAGAAGAAATGCCGGCGGATTCAGGATCTTCCTCAAGTAATTTAAATTGGAAGAAAAGTGAACGAGTTCCACCGAATTTCAATATTATTCCTATTCAAAAATTGAAGAGTAAAAATTTGAACCTCATTATCAATTATTAAAATAAAATAATTTAATAATTTGATTAGTAAAAATAAAAATCACCTTCTTGACTACGTTGCCATTGCGAATGTTTATCAATTAGTAATTGCAACATAACAACAGCAATATTCTTTGTATATCTCAATTTGAGTAATGCAAATAAAGTTTCTATAATAATAATAATAATAATAATAAATAATAATAATAATAATAAATAAATAAATAAATAAATAAATAAATAAATAAATAAATAATAAATAATATATTGTTTAGTAAATATTAATAATAAATAGTAGAATTCAATAAAAATAATTATCAAAATTATCAAATATTCTTACCTGTTGATTTTACATAAAATTCATGTTCAACATTGGGATGTAAAAATGTTAAGAGATTGGCTGCAAATTCTGAGCATAACTTCCATGATTTAAAATAATTTTGGAATACTAAAAAAAAAAGAGAATGAATATAAAAATCAATACAAAATGAAAATAAATATCAAATAAATAAATATAATAAATATTTTTACCTTCGTCAGCTGGATATTGTAAAACAATATTTAAATAATTATGCATTATTTCCAAACATTTACGCATCATATCATCATCAGGATGTTTGTCTTTAACATAATTTATAAACTAAAGAAATCGAATAAGAAATCAAATTAAAAAAAAAAAATTCTTACTTGTTATTATTTATTATTTAATTGATATTTTATAACTTAATTCTTACCTGAGGTATGATATCAAAACCATAACTTTTGCAGAATGAATGAACATCTTCAATAGAATCTCGATTTAAATATTGATAAAGTCTTAGGATTAATTGAACTTTACGCAGTAAAGGAGCGGAATTTGCTAATGATGTTATAATCGAATCCCAAATTTTGATCCTAAAATTTGGAGAAGCATCCGCGCTAATTCTCAAAAGTTCAATTAATTCATCAGTTTTCTAAATATTATCATATATATACACAATTAGAATTTAGAATTACTTAACAAATTAAAGATTAAATAAAAAAAGTTAAAGGAATAAAAAATCAATTTACATGATCTTCATAGAAATCACCGAATACCATACTACTAAGGGCCCAAAAGAAATTTTGAGCTTCCATCCATTTCTGATGATATTCATGTGAAAGTCTACATCCCATTAATATCAACCCATAATATTTCGGAAGAGTAGTTTGATTATAAGCTATATTATCATTTGTATGATTAATACTAAAAGTAATTAATAAATCAAATAATGAGAAATTAATAATTAGCAATCAAAATAATGAAAATGAAAAATTAATAATTAGAAATCAAATTATGAAACAAACTCAATTTAATATTTAATTAATAAAAAATTTTCAAATACCTGACGTAATACATATGAAGTTGAGATATTAAATCATTATGTGAAATGAATAATCGTACATTATCCGGATAATCTTCACATACTTTGTGCCAGTATGTAACAATTTCCTAAACAAAAAAAAAAAAAATACAAAAAAAAAAAAAAAAACAAAAGAAATATAATAATTATAAAATATTAAACATGAAATAAAATGAATAAAATAAAATAACGAAATAATAATAACGAAATAAAGAATATACAAACTTTCTTGTCAACATCACAATCAATCCTGGTTGCATCTATAATTATGAACATCGCTCCAAATTTTTCAAAATGGGGTCGAAACTATAATATAATAATAATAATAATAATAATAATAAATAATAATTTTAATTAAATAACGGAGAACTTTTTATTAAACTTGCATATCATTGTAATCATTGAGATATTTACCATTTCTTTTTCCCTGGATGATCTCACACATTGAGTCAAAACTTTAAAATAATTACTAAGTCTCCATCCGAAAGGTTCGGCTAAAATATTTGAGATAATTTTTAATGTAATTTGATATATTTGATAAAATTTGATTCGTTATTATAATAATAATTATTATTATTATTTAAAAAAGTATATTACCTCCTCTCCTTGCATATGTTGTTCTCCAACATGGTTCCACACTGTCAATAAGTTTTAGTAACATTGAATATTGTTTTGTTAAGTTTAATGAAGCTTCAATCTTTGCTTGTTCCCCTTGAGCATCTTCTAATCTTCGAAGAACCAATATATTAAAAAGATTTTCCGCACGTTGTCGAACTGTCTCATATGGATTAAGTAAAAGGTAATCTGGTAACCATTCTTGTAAATAAGTTAGGAGTAATTGTTGAACATAAGCTCCAACCGATGAAGTACATAAGGCTTCAATTAACCCGAGACATTCGGAAGTAACTTGTGGAGAACTATGATTGTTTTTGGCGAGCTATGTAATGTAAAAATAGATTGTAAAATAGAATGTAAAAATATATTGTAAAATAGATTGTAATATAAATTGTAAAAAATAGAATGTAAAATAAAATGTAAAATAGATTTTAAAATAGAATATAAAATGTAATGAAATATATAAATATAATTATGTAAAATGTAACATAAAATAGAAATAAAAAAAATATTATATACCATCTTCAGAACCTCCCTAATAATACAATCGACTCTATTATTCGTAATTTCATCTTGTATCTGTGCCATAGAATAAAGAATTTCCAAGTGAGGTCTTATATGATCTATTGTATAAGTATCCGCTGCACGAATAAGTTGATTTATAAGTTCTTCTGACATTTCTTCATTATGAATGGCAAAATGTTGAAATATTTCTCGAGATGATGATGAATCAACAACATCTCTTATTTGTTTCATGAAAAATATGAATAAATCTTCGGCTTCTTTACGTTCAAATATTAATCCAAATTCTTGATCACTTAATTTTAATGGAGGTTGTAAAGAATTATTACGTCCATTTTCAACATTTGTGGAGACATCACATTCTAATAATAAGGTTTTAACGGTAATCAATAAATATCGAAATGGTGGTAATGAAAATTTATCTCCCATTCTTTTTTTTCGATTTTTTAAAGGTGATAATTCATCTAAAAGGAAAAGTCTTATTAATTCCCCAATGAATCCACGTTTAATCATATAAACTTTCTCTGGTACTCCGAATGATGCTATATATGAAAGTAAATAAAAATATTGTTCAAAATTACGCCAATATAAATGAGCTGATTGAAGTAAATCGAACATCGCTTCACATAAAAGTGCAATTATTCCAGTTGGATAAACCATATAAGCTTGAGTTGAATCAACAATCATTGATGAATCAGGATTATCATTTGTATCAACTGTAATTCTTTCTAATCCATAAGCTTCCAAATTACCATTACGAAGAGTTTTTAAAACAAATATTATTAATTCAACTATTTGTTCTCTAACATCTTGAACATAACATGACATTAAAATTTGTTGTAAATTATTATCAATTAATCGATTAATGAACCATTGACAAGCTGATAAATGAGTTTGAAATCGTGTTTTAAGAATATCGATACAAGTTGGTAAACTATTATTATCCTTGGCACGTGAAAGAACCCCTAATACAAATTCAGTACCAAGTTGAATCGATCGTAAAATTAAATCAATTTCAATTCCATTCACGAAAATGGTTGGAGTTTCATCAAGTTTTACTGAATCAAGGACTTGCATCATAAGATTGAAATAACCCGGATCAAATATATTTTTATCCTGAAGAAAACAAATATTTTCTTCCCAAATAGAACTATGTATATCATTGGGAACATAGGTAACTACATCATCTTCTTCCAAATTACTATTATTATTATTATTATTATTATTGTTGTTGTTGTTATTTGAAATACTTTGTGAATCCGAACACCTTTCGTAGAAGAGCATATATGCATTATATTGTTTTGAAAACATTCGTTGTACATTTTTTTGTTGTGCAGGATCCCATTGTAATATATATTCAGGACCACCAAAACATTGCTTAGGAATATCTTTAGGATCAAATATTTCAACTGTTGAATCATTAAATTGATACCAACGACGTTCATTATGACCATCATTAAGGAAAGGTTTTCGTTCCCTGATAAATGAATAATAATGACCTGAATCGGCTGTTCCCGTATGAACAAGAACACCTACAAGTTCATATTCGAATTGATCTTTATCAATGTCCGTTTTTAATTCATCAATTTGTCCTGATTCTTTGCCTATTAAATAATCCAGAGTATAAGGTTCCATGTTAATACGCGTGGGGAATTCAAAATGTTCATTAATTTTAACACGTTTCAATAATTCCATATCAAAGTCAAAACGTTTCAAATGCATTATTAAATTTTTTGGAAGGGTTTTAATGCATGATCTATTATTAATGTAAATTAAAAGAATCAAATTTTTAGTATGAATTAAATTGGTTTAAAGAATAATGAATGAAATATTTTTCTTTTAAATGACCTTTTAATGGCTTCTACCGATTTTTCACATTTCGCACAGAAGTATTGATTATCTAGTTTTTTTTTTTTTTTAAAAAAAAAAAAAAAATAATTATTATTACTTATTAATATCGAGATATCGAAATGAAAGATAAATATATGTATATATATATTGGATAACTTACCTCCGTCTAATAGTTCACCCTCTACATATAATTCTAAACTTTCTTCCACATTTTTTTTATTTTTCACCTCACATTGAATTGCAAAAAATGATTCTTCCTTTTCAGAGATGTGTCCACAATCTCTTGACTTAATTTGTTGAACCAAAGTTCCACCAAAGTGTTCCTTTAGAAGCATTGCCTGAGGTGTTCCAGATACACTACTCTCTAATCGATCAAAAAGTCCATTAAAGTATTCGTCCACATCCATTTGAAGAGCCACATTTAATGGTCCATCTATATCTCTGTAAGCTTGACAAAATTGGATTGCTTCATATGCCTTCTTTTCACTTTCTTGTAAATGACCAAATACCACTTGAAGTTGATAAAGAAGACTTTCATCTTTATTATCATCAATTACTGGAGCATCGAAAAGACTTTTTCGAAATGAAGTATTCATAAAGAATTGTTGAATAATTGAATTTACATAACAAGTGGCACCCAAATTTTGTAAACCAACGTAACCCGCTGGAGCTTTTTGACAAGCTTTTGGACAATAATTCCAATTATCATTTAATTGATTACCCCGATCTAATTGTTTTAAATATAATTCACTTATTCGAACAAAATTTTCTGGACAATCTTTAACAAGTTCATTCAAAAGTTCCAAAGCAGCATTTCGGGAGACATCCAATTTACATTTTGGAGGAAGAATGGAACCGACATGATCAATAGTTGGAACTTGAAATAAGCAATCATGAAATATTAATTCCAACAATCTTTATTAAAATAAAAAAATTAAAATTAAAAAATAAAAATAAAAATAAAAGTTTGTATGAGTCAAGAAGTTTATTATTATTATTATTATTGTTATTAATAATAATATTATTATTATCATCATTATTATTATTATTCTTATTCTTATTATTATCATACGACCAATAAAAATTATATAATACGTACGAATCATTCGGAGGACCTCTAAATTCTGGATATTCAGAGATTATGATTTTCATTAAATGTATTAAACCAACGATAACAGTATCTTCATTGGAAGAATTAAATTGCTATTGAAAAAAAATGAAAAAAAAATTAAGCATATTTTAAAAAATTTTTTTTAAAAAAAAAACGAAAAAGAGATTCAAGTATTAAAATCAAAATACGCAATTATTAATTTTCGACTCGAACCTCTTTAATGGGATGAAGTTTGATTTGTTGTTTGATATTTTCATATATAACGGATAAACTCATCTTTGCAGATTTCGTACTAAACGGCATTAATTTTCCCAACAATTCGAAATATTCTTTACTAGTATCCACATGTTCCTCAGCATCGGGTAAAAATGACCATAAAAGTTCTAGAAATGATTCAAGAGGGATTTGTACCAAACCTCCTTTTAATGACGCGTTATTAAAAATATCTTGACAAAAGTTAAATATAATCTTTTCCAAAAGAACTCTTGCATCTTCTGATTGACATCTAATCAATGAAGAAAGAAGCCAATCGCGTAAGTTGGGATAATTAATAAAACTTGCGAGAGCCGTTTCGTCACGTAAACATAAACAAGTTAAAAGCTTCATTGAGTGACGAATGATAGTGAGGTCTTCATTGACTATTATAAATATAAGGAAAAAATATGTAAACGATAAATACTCAGTTTAATACTTAATTTTTTTCTTTGGATTTTGGTAACATTACCTTGTTTTTGTGAAGGATCAACGCACTGACCAACTATGTCGAGTAATTTTTCAATTAAAATTTTTGATTCAAACCGTTTAAAAACGTCGACGTTAACAAGTGATTCATCTGTAACAGAAAAAACAAGATAAATTATGAGATATTTATTAAAGAGAAAAGAAAATTTTTAAACGTTTTTCAATGTAAAACTTACCAACTGCAAGGAAACTAATGACTTTTAACAATAACCCAAGGCAAGCCCGTTTAGTGACACTATTCTGATGAGCAATTGTTTTAAGATTTGCAGAAGACTCTTGTAATGTCAACAATGATAACAGATATTCTAATCCACCATTATCTACAAAGAGTTTAGACCATTCATCACTGTTGCTATATTCGTCGGAACCTCTTAGAAGCCAATCAATGATTTGAAGAGCATAAAGTAATCTGAAAGGAGAACGAGGTACGAGAATTTCTTCCCAATTAACTGGTGTTTCTAGGGACTTTAATGCCGCCAAAGAACGTGAGTTTGTAGGGAGTCTCATAAGAAGATCCCAAATCTAAAATAAATTGAAAGGATTACAATTAAGTTCTATTTAGAAGATCTATTATTAAATATAATATAAATATAAATATAAATATAAATATAAATATGTAACCTGTGATGAATAAGTCTCATCTAATTCTAACATGGAAAAGAATTGGTCAATGTATTTTGAAAGCATATTTATTGGTAAATCCGATTCCGTAATCTATAAAAAAGGAAATAAAATAATAAAATTAAGAATATAATTAAAGAATATAATTAAGAATTTGAATCACAAGGAATGATAAATAAATGATAAATAATAATAAAATGCGAATGACGCAATAAAATGAAGACCTCTTCATCCAAAGGTAATTCAATCTTATCAGAATCTTGTCCATTTTTTCCATCCGTATTGCGTTTCATGACCATGAAAACTTGTCTATCGATAATTTTCAATTTTTTTAATGACATCGTATTAGATTCGTTGGGAAGTTCTTTCCCTGAAGTAATTAACCGAATATTTCCTGGACGTGAGACGCCAACACGAGAAGCAATCTTTTGTCGTAATGAAAGAACCGTTTCTAATGGATGAATTTGCAATTCAAATCCACGCGATGCCTAAATATATATATATATTAAAGGAATTTTTTTAAAAAAAAAATCAAATAACGCTTTTAATTTAATTTCCAAATTAAAAACGATCATAATTATTCATACCACATTTGTTACATTGACTTTAATAGTGATCCATTCAGCATCATTAAGCATACCATGCCGTTTTATGGGTCGTTTTTCTAATTGATAATTACTGTACTTGCTATCGAATTGATCCATAAATGATTTTAATACTTGTAAACATCTCTTAAATTTCAAAGCATCAGCTGCTGTTTTTTTGGTAGATATGGTTGGTGGCATTATAATACCATCGCTATCCATATTATTATTATTATTATTATTATCATTTTGATTTTGTGTCGAATCAACAATTTTATTGTTCGCTGTGGAAAAATCTAAAGATTGGGATAATCCATTCGCCGCACTGAAAAGATGCGAAACACATTTGTCTACTAAAGCTTCACGATGTTGACGTGCTAATATGTTATGGTTTTCTAATTTTTTATCAGTCTAAAAAAAAAAAAAATAGAAAAAAAATAAATATAAATACAAAATTTATAAATTAATGAATATTTAAAAAAAAAAAATTAAATCTTATGTCGTACATTCAAGTATAGATATACTAAAAAGAGGATAGCTTCTTTTCCCACAGCTTCCTCTTCTGCACGTAATGCTATGTCCCATATAAGATCGATACCAATGAGATCTCCTTGAACGAGTATGCTCAGTTGAGATTGTGATTGAGTACTCGAAGAGGTCTACGAAAATCCAATTACATTTATAAAAAAAAATGAATTAATGAGAAATGAACTTAATTTAAATTAATATTAAAAGACAATAATGATAAAATAGAGTTATCATACAGAACGTAATCGCGCATTATTCGTATTAACTTTTAATAGACAATTTTTTGCATATTTGAAAGCTTGATCCGAAAAATATCTAACATCCAATTTTGGTAAACAATTATCAAAGAAATGACTAATAAAAAAATTGTAATCTATAATATTATCCAAGTATGAGAAGGCCTCATCTTGTTCTTGTTTTCCAATAGGATCAGCGATAAGACATTGCCAAATGACATCAGTTTGATCAGTGGATTTGAAAAATTTAACAGATTCATGATTTGCGACCCATTGTAAGAATTGTAATCTTGAAACTAGTTGATCTCTTAATATAGCTGCTCTTGATGGAGACAAATTAATTGACATTGAAGGACTTAATATTGGTGAAGAACGATCTTTTTTATTTTTAAAAATAGGAAATGAAACATTTAATATCAAAAATATCAAAAAAAAAAAAAAAAATCATCAAAAATGTACATCGAAATATCTCACCAAGATCCATACTAAAAGAATTTCCTGATCTGTATGAACAATTTTTAACTGTTCTTGTCCAATGTTCCAAATCATTTAAAAACAATTGAGGTAAATCATAAGATGTTAATTCAGAAGTACTTAAAGGCTGAATTGGAAAAGGGGGAGCTTTATAAACATATATATATATTTATATTTAAATTTATTTATTTATTTTAAATATGATAAAAATAAATAAAATCAATTTAAAAAAATTAAATTAAATTAATTAAAACAATTTAAATATTCAAATAAATCATTTTTAAATCATTTTAAATCGCTTACATATAATCCTTGTTAATATTCTCAAAGCCCACATTGTACCAGGATCATGTCGTTTCAAACAATCAATACACAAAATGAGTAATCGATTTCGATCTTCGGTACTAGTGTCACCCTGTAATAAATTAGTTAAAATTTGACATGCGGCTTGAGCAATCTCTTGATCTATTGTTGAGATTGCGGTATTTGAACCTCCCACAGTTGGTGAAAGAATTTCGGAATTCATTAAAATCGGTATGGGAACAGAAGAATCACAAAGTATACGCCATAATAAACGATGAGCTTCAAATGATATATGATTAGAACTCTAAAATATAACACAATGATATAAAATAAATAAATAAATAAATAAAAATATAATAAATGATTATCAATTTTAAAATTTTTAAATCAATTTAAAAATGACCAATTTTATAAATGATCAATTTTATAATAATAATTTTTGACTATTAAATTAAATGACATAGACATAACTTACCATTCCACTTAATCTTACACTATTCATTGTGGCTTGTACTAAAGTTTTTATTAGTGTAAATGTCTGAGTTTCTATAAAACTCATTGGCATTTTCATTAATTTCTGAAATAAATAATCTCTTTGTTGTTGATTAAGTTGTTCCGAAATTTCAATTATCACTTGACAAACACCGTGAACAATACTTCGATGTTGATTTCCATCAACAGGTGCCCAGATAATATCCAGCTCATGTGATGTTAATGATCGTGTATGTATAAGAAATGTTAAAATATCAGTACAACGTTGAATAATTTCTAAATGAATATTTGATCCAAAAATATATTCAAGAATTCCATATTCTCGTAATTTTTCATTTAATACACTAAAAAAAAGAAAATATAAAATAAATTTTATCTTTTTAAAAAAAAAAATTGAAAAATATTATTAATCATTTTAACATCAAAGATATTAACAAATACCGATGAATTTTATCAGAAGCATTTTCTTCATCTAATTGAATAGAATCATCATCCCCATCAATACTAAGACTTCTTTTACGATTATTACCTCTACGTCTACTCCTTTTAAGAACTCGTGCTTGTTTAAGTCCCAAAATAAGAGCATCTTTTATTTCATTCAAACCTGTTAATCTTAAATCTAATCTTGAAGTTTTCAAAAGTCTAGCTGCAATATCAATTTTTAGTACTGAACTTTTGATAACTTGTTGTTCATCCGGTATTTCTTGATATAATATATAATCACTATCTTCATCTTCATCTTCATCAGATGATAACATAGGTTGATAATTTCTTTCGATATCCCTTATAGTTCCGGAAACAGATGAAGGTAAGTTTAAAATCATTGAAGTTACCATGTTTACAATATTTGGGATTATCTTTTTTTCCTGTCGAATTAAAAGTTCTTCGGGAATATTTATAATTTGGACTTGAACGCATTGGGCTATTTTCATAACAAATTGCCTGAAATCCACGTTATTTGGAATGTAATGACCGATCTATTGTATGATATATAATTTATTTATTTATTTATTATGTAATTTATTTTATAATTATTTTTTTGTAATTTATATGTAAATTTATTATTCTTCTTAAATTAGTTATAAAAATTTAGAATTATTTTATAAAAAAAAAAAAAAAAAAATGAATTCATAAGAATTTATTCACTAACTTTATGAATCATTCGTATTACTCCGTGAACATCCTTTAAATCCAGGTTATTGAAAGGATGTGCGCTGTTTCGTTGTTGGCGAGGTTCTTCGGTATAACCTAGAGCTCGAAGTACGGCTTCTAAACCCCTACTATTGACGAACGATTGGATTGCTTCGTATTGGTACTGGGATATGCGTGGTTCCAACTTTTTGGTGGTATAAACAAGTGCCAGCATACATGAAAAGCTTTGTCAGCACATGTTATGAATGATAAACCACCTTTACATTGATAAAATCGTCATTATTTTCTCTTGAACCTGTTCCATCCCTATGATATCACTCGTGTTATCATCATATTCAACAATCTATATATATATTAAATATTGATAAATATAAAAATTTATTATTATTTAAAAATAATTATAAAATAAAAATAATAATAAAAATAATAAAAATAATAAGAAATAATAATTATTCATTATTTGCCTTACTGACCTCATCTGTTTCACCTACAATACCCATCATGACGGTATTGACTCCTACGTCTAAACGTCTAGAATCAAATCTTCCATCAAATCTACGATAAAAAGATGCATGTTCATCGCCCAAAATACGAGCTACAGCGTCTTGCATGATTTCGGAAAGTGGAAATTCTTCGCCAGCGGTATTCATATTTTCTGGATCCATAATAAGACGTATAGCAATTTCAAGAACCTTGATAAAAAATTGATAAATCGTACCAGCAAGTAAATTTCCCTGTGCAGAAGTTACAGTAGGATACCTTTTGAAAATAAATAATAAAAATATAATAAATATCAAAATAAATAAAAAGAAAAGAAAGAAAAGAAAAGAAAAATTTACCCTCTGTTCAATAATATGATAACATATTTGGGTAACCATTCTCTGTTTAATGCATCAATTATTGGTTTATTGGAATCCGAATTAGATTGACCCCTAAGAAAGGCGTCAATATATTCATTGAGCTTGTTTACTGTTTTACTTGGATTAGGTGCTAAATAAATACAGATTAGTTATGTTTATAATTTAAATTGATGACAAAATAATAATAATAAATTATTTAAAATATTTTTTTTTTTTTTAAAAAAAAAAAAAAATATTATTATTATGTTAAATCATTAAATTCGCTTAAACACCTTCTTTAAGCTGCGTGAAATAATCATCCCAATTAATTATATGTTCGTCCTCCTTTGATGATCTCCGTCGAGAACTTAGAGCTGAAGCTTGTGAATGTCTCCTCCTTTGACCTGGCTCACTATCATCATCAACTTCATCAGACGCATATTCTTCATCATCATCTGATGAAGATGTCATGTGTATATGATCTTTTCGATTATTACGTCCACGGTGAGATGAATGTTGTTGTTGTCGTGATGCTTCCGAAGCAAGGGCGATCCTTTTTTTAGGACGCTGTTCATGATCACGGTGGGACACATGAGTAATTGGTTTTGCTACCGTAACCTCATCTTCATCATATTCATCGACAATTTCTTCATCTGCTTCTTCAATTTCATCTTCTTCGTCTTCATCATCTTCATCATCGATCTCATCATCTTCTTCACTACTACTTAAATTTTTTGAAGATTGACGACATACGAGATCTTTGGAAGATACGTTATCTTTATCACTAATTACCACGTCAGGATCAACTAATGTGTTGTCCATTTCTGCCTCAATAAGTTCGTTATTCTTCCCTTCCGAACCTTGTTTTTCAACACCTTCTTGCAATTCTTGACCATTTAAGTCTTCTTGCTGCAGGGTTTCCTCGTCTATGGGCAGTTGCTGTGACATGGTTTTAGGAGGTGGACGTATTTATAAACTTTTTTAGAGAGTATGTAAACTTATTTTATTTTTACGTTTCTTTAAAAAAATTTGATCCTTATTGAGATCTAAGTTCAAGAAAAAAACACGTAAGAATTTTATAACAATGATTGCTGTCCGCAAGTTCAAGAATGCGGTGTAATATTTTTTTGAAAGAGATAAAACGTAATTACAATAATATAATACACGGGCAGCCAGTAATTCGAATAAAATGAAACCGCGTTACCCTCCTATAAACCAATAAGTATAAAGAGTTAAAATTGTTCAATCACTCGTTCGAGTAAAGGGAGAAGGGAATAAAAGACAATTCCGTAACTTCACTATTTATTACGAATTTGAAATCAATGTTTTGTACAACGTTATACTTGTACTGATGACGTCTGGATTTGTGTGAACACAATATCCTTCACGTGACTTTTACTACTATTACTAATGATAAAAATTTATAGTATTCGTCCATTTCCATTGCTGTCATACGCCACAAAATAACACAAAAGTAAATAACTTGTTATTTTTTTTTGGATCGGGGCAATTCTAGATAAGATTCCACGTGCCACATTGTTTTCCGCAAGAAAGCGAAAAAAAACATTCATATAATTCATAAATAGAAATAGAAATAAATAAATATTTGTTAATTATGAATGATATCAAAATATCAAATGATGTTAAAACTGTCTATTGGAACATTATTGATATCACCAACATTTTGATTTCAAAAAAAAAAAAAGATTTGATTTTTCTCGTCTCTCTTTCAAATATGATTGAAAAATACGAAATATTAGTTAATCATTGTATCAATCTCTTCGAAATGATTGCTTTTTTTTAAGCCTTTAAGGAACGTCGATCATGCATCATTTTTTTTTATTAATCATCTCTTTTAATTTAGTTTATTTTTATATATGGAAATGAATTAAATGAAATATGTTCTTAGAAGATTACTTTCTTCATCCAAAAAAATTTTTTTTTTTTAAAAAAAAAGGAAGATAGAAAAAATAATATTTGTTCTTCAAATAACGTGAATTTCATGCTTTAGGAAAGATTTACGATTCTTTAATATATATTTATGTCCAGTGACAATGAATAATGAACTAGATAATAAGAATAATAAGAATAATAAGAATAATAATAATAATAATAATGATAATGATAAGAATAATTTTTTTCAAAATTTTACACCGGCCGATACACAAGAACAACCTCAACAGTTTGATTCTCAATTAGGTAATGAGGATGATGCCAAAAGTAAAGACAATGAATTTTCGGATTATTCTGATTCTAGTTCTTCTATCCAAAATTTACCTTTGATCGAAAATGAAAGAATCAATCTTATTACGGAAAATTGGATAACCCATCGTAAAGAAACTGTTACTCGAATTAATCAATTCATTCAACGAGATCAAATTATTTTGATTAGTGCACCTCCATTCACCGGAAAAACTTCCTTGTGTATTTTAATGAAAGAATATTATAGAAAGAAAGGAATTCCCGTAATACAAATTTGTTTCTTGGGTGTTGAAGATATGTCATTTGAAGAATTTTGGGTAATTGAAACCGGAAGAAGTTGGAAATACTGGTTAAATCCTAATCATGGAGAACGAGTAATAATTTTAGATGAAACTCATCATATCTTTGTTGGTTCACAATATGAGACATTTTGGTTACGGATAAAATCTTTATGTAAACAAGCGTCACTTGGACATCAAAAAACCATTAAAATATTAGCTTTTTCAACAGGTGGTAAATTAACAACTTCTATTCCTAGTCCAATCGAATTTCAACGGAAATTTGGATTTGAATTAATTCGTTGTATTCGATCAGAATTATTAGAATTGATTGGATCCTTTAATAATTATAATAATAAGAAAAAAATTTTTGTTGGTGAAAAAATTGCTCAATATCTTATGGAATTTACTTCGGGTCATTTAGGTTTAATTAAATGGATACTTAATGGCATTGACAATTACTTTTCTTATAGAGGAATAAATTATAAAATTACAACTGATATAGAAATGATGTCTTATTTAAAATCATTTGATTTCATTGAACATATTAAAGCTCATAGAGGAGCTCTTCGTTATAAATTTAATAAAAAAGAAGAGGATGTAATAGATAAGTTACTTCTCAAAAGCAGCATTCAAATAAATTCTATTGATCCAGATGATGCTGTTTCTGATTTACTTAAATCAGGTATATTAATTTATATCGATAACAAAGGACCAGAGTTTGTTCTTAGGAAAGGTCGCGTTGGTTTCATGTCTTCAGTGACTAGATTACTTTCATTTTTTCATCGATGCATTTCAATTAAACATCCACTACAAGATGGATTCACATTACAAGATTTGGCGCGTGAAGCTTTATCACGTATGAATTCAAAAGTTTTAACACATAATTTAGGACGTTCAAAAGATGGTATGAGATTATTGGAACGTGTATGGCAAATGGAATTTTATCGAGCAATGTATAGTTGTCTACCTGATGAAATACACATATCACCTGAAGTTGGGAGAATGTTCGCGACAGATGGAATAGTTGATTTTTATATTTCTGAACCTCAATGGGCAATTGAACTTTTGATTGACGGTGTAGACATGAAACGACATCACGAAAGATTTCAAGATGGTAATAATAATAAATAATTTCATTATTAATAAACTAATATTTAAAAATATTTTTGCTAGCCTTGCTCCAATGTTAATATTATTCAATTTTAATATTATTCAATTTTAATATTAATATTATTGAAGAAATTAAGTTCTTTTACAAGATAATAATATAACATTGGAACTCGCTAGCCCTCAAAGTAATACTTTGAGAGCAAACAAATTAAAATCAATATCTTTAATATTTATTTCTTTTTTTTTCTTTTTTTTTTTAAAAAAAAACAGGAGGTCGATATTCTTCAATACCGATAAAAAGTTACTTGATTCTCGACATTCGTGAAACTAGAACAGTACAAAAATCCTACCCAAACACTTGGCACATCACCCCTAATGAAGATTTTACAACATTTAATGTATTAGAAGGTACCAACCCATTTGATATCTCAACAAAGCGAGGTTATCCACCAAGTTTAGATATGCCAACATCAACTTTAGAACATAAAGCATTAGAATATGAAATTTTAAATTTGAAGAGAAAACGTTGTCTTAGTTATGAAGATGACGACGACGACGAGGATATTCAGGAGGCGAGAAGACAACAAAATCGACGTGATATTGTAGAGAGTTTAGAGAAACTTATTGATTTTTTAACCAAACGAGAGAAGTATCTTAGAGAAAATGGAGCGATTGAAGAAGCAAATGATGTACAAAGACAACTCGAACGTTCATCTCAGGATTTGGCAAAGACTTTATATGAAGCAATTGGTAATAATAATAATTATGAGAATAATAATGGTAATAACGATAGGAAAGAACTTTAACAATAGTATTGTTAAAAAAAAAACTGTTATTAAGCATTTTTTTTTGTATTATATGTATTATATGCATTTTAACACTATTAATTTTAATTTTCTTTCAGAATAAAAAATTTTTGACAACTTTCTTGAATACTTATCTAACATCTATAATTATATTACTATATATTTATATAACCAAAAATTAAACGAGATCTAATTTATTAAATTACAAGAATGCGTAAAAACTAGTGTTTTTTCTATTATTATAAATATTATAACTTCAATTAAGAAATCATAACATGGACGGCAGTTTTAGCAGGTACACCGTGATTATTAATATATAACCAAGAAGGACCTGGAGCGATAATATTATGATTGGGAGGCATTGTCACATCCATAGTAAATACACCATTTGCAGCTTTAACATTTTTCACACTACAAATAACATATCTTTGTGACATGTGAACTGAATGTGTGACGAATCCATAATGAATTAATGCTGCGGTGAATACTGAACTATCACCTGTAAGTTGTACGGTCACTGCTACATCAGAATTATATTTTACAGGTATAGGGCTTTGATTGACTTCTTTTACTCCGGCTACACTTGTTATAGTGCCTCGAGGATGTGTAGTTTGTAGTACATAACTAGGCGAATAATATTCAATTTGAAATCTTTAAAAGATTTTAGAAAAGATTTTAGAATAAATGGTAATATTTTATATTTGTAAATTTACATAAACGTAAAAAGTCAAAACTTACTGAGTCTTAAATTCTCCTGAAGTTACAACATTTTCATTTGGACTACCTCCAGATATAAATACACGACCATCGGGAATAAGAGTAGCTACAGAATGATAATATCTTGGAATAGTAGAAGCGGAACTTTTTGAGAATCTACTTCCAAGAGGTTTTCGAAAATCGTATATAAGTGAAGTGAGGACTGCATTTGTTGCTTGTGGTATTGATACTTTATTTCTCTCACGAGCTAAAAAAAAAAATAACCAAAAAAAAATAAATATATATATATATATATTGAACTAGATACATAGTATTTAAGAAAAAAAAACTACTTACTATAACCGGCAATTCCTGTTCCTGCACCATTCACGAATAAAGTTTTACCATCGGCCAAAATAACAGCATCAGGCATTACTCTACCAATTCCACCGAAATCATCCATTTCCCATTTTGCAGTGTCCAAATTTGACAAATCAATTCTTCCGCAAGAATTTTCAGCTGGACTTGTTACATCATCTTTACTATTACCACCACAAATAAGAACTTCTGGTTTGTAATTATTATCAGGACTTAAAGGTAACATTACTGACGTGCCAGTTAATGGATAAGATCGAGGACTTCCAGGAATTGTAGGAAGTTTTTTCACGACTTTATTAGCTTTCCAATCCCAAATCATACTATCTTTATTAGCGAAGATGAAGAGATGACTTTGTTCAGCTGGACCAGGCATTAAATGAACTATGGGATAAAGGTTGTAAGGGAGACTATAAATAGAATAAGAAAAAAAAAATATTAAATTTGCTTATGTGCTTAAATTGCTTATGCTTAAATCACTTTAAATTAAAAATAAATTGCTTAAAAAAAAAAAAAATTCATACTTACGTATCAATTAAGAATTGTAAAGGAATAGCTTTATCATTTGGGTTGGTTTTGGGGAAAAATTCATAAGTAGGACTGTTAATTTTTCCATCATTGACTCGCGTAGCTTGAATTGAACCACCAATAATAAATAAACTTCCATCATTTAAACTAATAATAATAATAATTATAATAATAATATAAAAAGAATTAACATTATAATTATCATTGTGTATGTGCATTGTGTAAGAATTTATCAACTTACGTGATGACAGTTGGATACCATCTATGTGTATCTAATCCTTTTGGATTTTCGTACCATTGACATTTTTTGTTTGAACATGGGTTAAAGACGCGTGTACTTTCGAATCCTTCAGCATAAGCATTGCCCTAGATTAAAAAAAAAAGATCAACATAAATTTTATAATTGATAAATTTTTTGATATATATATATATATATATATATATTTTGATCCAATTGAAATAAAATTATGTACCTTTTTTTCAGCACCACCGAGATTGAGTAAACTACCATTTCCTATTTTTTTTTTTTAAAAAAAAAAAAATTAAATTAAATCTTCGTGAAATCAAAATCACAAAAATGACGGAAATTTACCCATAATGCTACCGGCACTGCAAAAAGTGTTGGTGTTTAATGGTAATAATCTTTTTGAATCATCAGTAATATCATATTCCAATGAAACTACCCTTCGACCATCGGAATATTTAAGAGGATTACTTTGCACTAAAAAGGAAAAGAAAAAGAAAAAGAAAGTTAGACGTGTTCAAGTCACGTGAGTAATAAATTAAAAAAAAAAATTTTTTTTAATACCTTTATCGATAATAATAATTTTATTGGGCTCAGTAACAGCAATGTGCATAGCCGCTATTCCAGATGTACTAAAAAAAATTAATACGAATACCCGAAACGATCAAATAATTAATTTGTGTAAGTGTTATTTTAGTTTTATTAAATGTATAATAATTTGTGTAAATTTAAAATACCCTTTAATTTCAAATGCATTCGGAGCTGCTTGATCTAAAAAAAAATAATAATAATAATTATTATTATTAATAACTAGTACTTTCCTAATGACTCAAATTATATAATAATGTAGATTAAGAAAAAAACCTGAAACCGTTGCATGAACAGTCAAATCGAACCCAAGAATTTTTACATTTGTAGGAAAAGCTATGACAACATCATTTTCTAATAAAGTAATGATAACCACTAATAGCGAGAATACCAAGACTGTAAATGATAATTTCATCTTGGGAAATAACTTTTTTTTTCTTCTTCTAAAATTTATAATTATTATTTATTATTATTTATTATTATTTTTTTTCGATGTTATTTTAGAAAAATTCTTAAATATTATGTCAAATTATAAAAAGCGGATATAAGGACATGGATAGTAATATTCGAAATAATGATGATGAGGGATATAAATAAGAGAAATAAATAAGAGAAATAAATAAGGGGAATGAATAAGGGAAATGAGGGAAATGAAGGAAATGAAGGAAAGAAATTATTGAAAAAAAAGAAAATGAGAATATATAAATTAAATTTTTTCACTCAAAAAAAAAATATAATTTACAATATTTACATCATGGCTCAAAGTGTAGAGATATTTAGAGATATTTATACTACAATCTTTCTTTTTACGAAACATTTTAATAATAAATATGTATAAGATTTATAAAATGATGTTAATCTCGCACAATTAATATTTTCAAATTACTTTAAAAGGTTTCTGATTGAAAAAATTATTTCATACTAAATTAATTATTTTTAAACTTTTTATATATTGTATTTTAATTAACAAACGTTAGTTCATTCTAAAGAAAAAAAGTGATTATTTTCTTATTTTGTTGTCGCAAAAGTGGGATGATTATTTCTAGAAATCATTTATTAAAGATTTAACTAAACTAAGAACTATTATTATTGGTTCCATTTTACATATTTAATAAATTTAATAAATGTAAGATGTAAGATGAATTCTTGTTACTTTAAAGATTTCTAGCAATTAGTTCTTCATGTTGATCTATATTTCATCAATTGTTAAATATTAATTATATTTAATTTATCGTTGAATGATAACTCTTATTAATTACCAATTTTATATTCAGGTTTAATAATAATAATAACCAAATAGATTAGATTTTTTATGATGAGCGTGTTTATATTTATCATTCTCGGACAGTTAAATTAATTCGATAAATCAAAAGCACAAAATATTTGACATTCTTGGACGGTTAAATTAATTCCAGCGTAAAATATTTGACATTCTTGGACGATTTATTCCAGCATAAAATATCTGAGATCCCAAATGCAATTATATAATGGTTAGACTTTAAACACAAGATTATGCACTATACCATTGTTATATCTAAAGAGTTTATTAGAGTATATTAGATCACTTTATAAGGTTAGCTTTTACTTAAAAACGGGGTTGGTTTATCACATGACATTATTACAAATTATATTGATAAAAATAGCAATTGAATAAATTGAACACATGTTTTGAAGGTTGTGTGCTTATATCTAGGGGATAGATAAGGGGGCCAACTCAATGTTACACAATTAGTTGTAATTTAAGTCTAACAAATCGTTACACAAACCAGGAATTATTATATAAAAAATTATTTTCTCTATAGAAACGTATTCACTTAATTTCAAGCAGCCGATCCTTAACATTAATACCGTGCAGTTTTTATTTGTGCATAATTACATATTTTATTTTAATTTCAAAAAATTAATAAACTTTAAATCTATTTAATCGAATTTAAGAAAAAAAATTTTTTACAATAATAATCTTATGTGAAAATTTGTTTTTTTGCTAAAGCTTCCTCAGAAAAGAAAGTTCCTTTTTTTAAATGATCCAAAACCAAAGGTATGAGATTTTTTTTCCTTTTATCTTTTTTTTTTTGAATTATCTTTAATAACCATAGTAAATCGCTCACTAAAAATATTTTAGAGAATTCTTCTTCGACATTTTCCAATTGTGCCCAGACCCGAAGCTGATTTAATCCTAGTGTAGGATCCTTTGGAATATTGGATTTTAAATAGATGTTAATTTATTTTCATTTTTTTTAATATAATTCTCATTGTTTTAAGATTTTCCCTAAGACTCGAAGTGCCTTTTTCTGGAGTAAGTTCATTAAATCTTCTCCAAGATTTTTGTCATACATGTGAAAATAATTTTCTCATAGAGAAATCTCTTGGTTTCTTCCGTTATTTCATATTCTTCTATATTTTTAGAATTATTTGTAATAAGCATTTGGTTGAAAATATTAATGAGTGTATTAAAATGATAAATTACATAATAAACTATTATTAATATATAAAATGATATTTGTGCCGAGTTCCTTGTGTTTTTCAAATAATAATAATACTAGTGATTCTAATTTATATATAAAATTTAAAAAATCTTGAACCGGGTATTATATTTGTTGTTTGAATTCGTACATCCCGTTCATATACAATTTGTTCCGAGCTTAAAACTTTAAGATGAGCACTCATTGCTTCGAATTTAGGATGTGATTTCATTGTATTACTTTTGATTAGTTTATAAATAATCCACCCAACAATATAAACAAATTTTGATACTTCAGTTGGTTCTAAATTAATATTATCTCCGGATATTAAATAAGGATCCACAGTAAGATATGTATTTTGTTTCGTATTTTCATTGAATGTAAGTTTGATTACATTTTGGAAAAGTAAAAATGCAACAAGTCTTTGAGTCGAAGAACCATTTAAGTGAGTTGCTTCAAGAAAATCCTGACACCAAACTCCCGAACATCGATAATTATTTAAATAAACTTCAAGATGAAAACTCCAATTTGCCATCCATTTAATCCCTATTTTTTTTTGGAACTGATTCAACAGCCATCTTTTTAATATTGGTTTGCCAATATTGTAACATCTTATCAATGGATTCTAAATAGAGAATGTTCTCCAATAAATTGTACCGTTGATTCTGAACACAAAGAATATTAAGGTTTTCTTGTTTGAAATTATCATCATATGTTATACAAGGAATCTCGAAACTAATTTATCTGCAAAAAGATTTTTAAAAACTTTGCAAGAAAGAGTTGATATTTTTGCTAATTGCTTAGAATGTTTTTGAAATAAAGAAACATTTTCTTTTTTTTTTCTATTAAAATTTTTTTATCTTTTCGATAATCTCTATTGTAATAAAATATATAATATTTAAATAATTTAATTATTAAATAAATTTAATATATATAACATCTCACCTTCTTTTTAAAGTAGTAATTCCTGTTCCAATATTTTCTACTTTCCTATAATTAATACTTTTAATTTCTGATGATACCAATGCTGTTACTTGATATTTATTTACTGCATGCCCATAAGATTTAAGTGTCTGTGTTGATGAATCTCCACCTAATTCACGAATTGTTCCTCAAGCATATCTTGTGAAATACGTTTAGGTTGAATTATTGAACCTAAATATTTGTTTAAAATAAATTCTAACATTTCAATAAAACCATCAATGGATAAAATTAAATCAAATTGACATTATGAAGAAATCCATTCTTTAATTTCAGTCTTCTGTTTATCACCATAAACAAACAAGTCACGAATTTCTTTTAAAGTAGTAAAACTTGGATCATCTAAAGAGCGGAAAATGAGTTTACTATGCATAATCTGTCTATACTTTCGTGAATATTTAATAAAATCCTATAAAAAATTTTAATATTTAAATTTACTTGAGTTTTATCTGATATATAATTAAGTTCATCAATGGATTCTAAAGCATCTTCAACTTCTTTTGATAATGTTTGTTCTGCAAGATAAACACACATTTTTGACCATGATGTTAACCATATATGTCATTTTATTTATTTTGTTGCTTTTGATGTAGCATGTTTACTTGTATGTTCATAAACTCCTTTAATATGTTTCCAACTGATTTCTTTATTTTCAAACATTATTTCTCGAGAATTTTTTTCACCAGTATGACTTTTTGAAAACATGTGTAGGATCAGAAATAAAATACAATCATCTCCTGTAATCGGATTTATTGTTTTGTGATATATTTGAAATTCTGGAAACATAGGTGTATGAATAAATGCTCTATCAACAGTAATATATTCAAAACTATTTGTTAATATTACTGTAAATTTTGTTCTTTCAAGATTACTATTTAAAAATATTTGCTGGTAAAAATAATTTTTTATCTTTATTAATATTGACTACTACAAAATCCCCACATGATAACTTAGATGCAATCCAATCCCAACTTTTAATATGTGTTCTATTTTCACCAGCACCATCACAAACTGATCCAATAGTTCTAATTTCTATGCATTCTAATTTAGTTGCAAGTTCAAAAATTATTGTATTTAAATTATGTGCTATTATATTATTAATACCATAATATGAAATCGGGAATGAAAAGTTGTGCGTAATTGAATGCCAAACAATTTGATAAATTTGTGTTGCAAGTTCACGTTTTTGTTCATTAAATACTGAATTATTATTTTTAGATATTGATTCAATTTCTTGTTGACAATTTAATGCAAAAGTATGATACTCATGCATTTCATTCTCAAAATCTAAATAACCCACATAACAATTTTTCTCATTGACTCCAAAAAAGACCTATTTGAAATATTTTTATTAAATTTTTATATAAATTATTTAAATAAAATTATTTTTAATATCTGATATGCAATCTTATCTTGCCATCCAGATTTTTGTTTGTGCTCATTAATATAACTTTTAAGTGTAGAAATTGATGGTAAACGCATAATAACCTTCATTGTGTTATATGCTGCATGTCCAGATCGATTATAAACAGATATAGCCCATCTTAAAAACCTATAGAATTAATTCTTAATTAATAAATTTAGTTATTAAAAAAAAAATTAATTAAATTATTAAAAATATTACATTGGGTGATATCTTGTTCCTTTTGATTTTTCAGATTGAATATGAATTAGTTCTTGAAAAATAGGATGAAAATTTGAAATATCTATATTTTTATTCTAAACTTTTTCTAAAACAATATGAGCTATATTGGAAATTTCATCAGAAGCTTCTTCTTCTTTTTCAACTTTCTTGTGAAGAAGATTTTCTAAATTAGAAATTAGTTTATTTTGTTTTGTAATAATTTTTCATTGTAAATTTATTTTTTCTGTAAGAATTTCTTTTGAAACATGCATTATTTTTGTAGGATGTACTCCAGATGAATTTCTTTGAATTTGTTCTAATGTTTTTTTTTAATTTTAAGCAATTTTCACATATAATATTATTTTTTACTATAAGTATACAATCTAAATGTCTATATATTTGTCCATTCTTTTCCATAAAAGCAAATGGAGTATGATCTTTTTCTTTACGAACTAATTGAGTACCACAAATTTGCACTACATCTTCAAAGCCTTTAATTAGATTAAAGAGTAAAATAAATTAAAAAATAAATTAAAAAAATAAATTGTAAATAAATTATAAATTTACCAACTGTACTTTGCCCATGACATATTTCAGCAGAAAAAACATAACGGATAATATTGATAATGTCATTAAGTGTTCTTTTTATTGTTTCAATTGGAAAAGGTAGATAAATATCTTGTACCACTTTATTAAATACACGAACTTCATAATTATGCAATCCACTTTTGGGAAAAATTAATAATTTTGATTCTCTTTTGTAGGAAATTTAAATTCTAGTCCTCCGGAAATTTCTTGTACAGATGTTCCAACAAATTCTCCTCCTGGTAAAATTTTTTGCTGAATATGTGAAAGAATATCTATAGTATTTATTAAAGAAGTTGTTTTCCAATATGGTATATGATTGGTAGAATTTAAAATTGATGTAATTGATTGGTGAGTAGGATTTGGTTCCAAAAAAATAGTTGCAAGTTCCTTTAAATAATATTTGATTCTTTAAACAATTTATCCATTTAAAAAATGTATCAAAATTTCAATTACTTTTAATACAATATATGTATACTCTATTCTCTTTTCTATTGTACATAATAATGCCTTTAAAATACTTGTCTAAAGTTGGAAAAAAATAAATTTCTTTGCCTTTAAGATCGGGTCTAGCATTTATTAACTCTTGTAAAGCCTCAATCTTTTTTTGTTTTTTTTTTGGTGAAGAATTATTTTCATTTAAAAATCTTTTCTATGATTTAAAAATAATATTTTTTTTACTAAAGATTAATATTTTTGGAAAAAAAAAAAATCTTTAAATAATAATTTACAAACTTTTTTTTTTACCATTTTAAATGAAAAGTTAAAATATTAAAATAGCCGATCCTATTTTTTAGAAGGAAGAAAAATAATACAAGAATAAAACTTATCGTGTAACTGGATAAAAAATTTTTTAAAATTTGTATTAGAATTACATCAATTGTTAATGGTTAATAATATTACTTAATAATTTATATATGACTTCAAATTATTAATGATCACCCTAAATTAAAATATATATATATGTGTAACATTAAGTTGGCCCCCTCTAAATTTATCTATCCCCTATTATATTTGTCTCACAATGATATGATATATATAGCAAGTTTTCATTTAAAAAAAAAAAATCGGCACTACGTTTATTTGATAGAACCAATTATTTTCTAAATATGACTTCAATTTCAAGAGCAAGTATACTTTAACACTTTTTCAATATAACTGATAAGAAAGATGTATTACTTTGCGAGAGAATAAAGTATAATAATAAAGTTAGATGTTGAAATCTAATTTAAAATATTAAATATTAAAATATTACAAGATAATTTACGGGATAACCTGATTATATTATGTTATATTATGTACAACGCACATGGTCTGATAATGTATGCTAAATCTAATAATAAATAATGATAGACGTAGTTATTATAGTTATTATAGTATCCACGCGTGCGTGTACAACTAAAATTAACGAAATTGTTTGTTAAAAATTGAAAATTAAACAGTTTATTCAGGCAATTTATTTTAGGCATTTTATTCTATGAAAAAATGAGTATTCCCGAACATGTCGGCTTTTTAAAAAAGATTCTTTAAAATTTTAACTTCTTTTTCTTTAGTTCGAATTTTTTTTTTTTCCTTAATTAGTTCAAAAATTCATAAAATTTTATAAAAGTCATAAAATTTACTAAAAAAAAAACTAAAAATTCAAATTCCAAATAAAAATTTTCACTTTTATACGAAAGAGCATTATTAAAATAATTAAAAAGTAAAAATTTATTCCTAAAACTATATGGCGAGTTATCCTTCATCAAACCATTCAAGTGTTTTATCAAGTAGAATAAGTGGTGAAAGTGTTTTCTCAAATTCATCATCTTCAACGACTTATACACAGGTAAAGAAAAAAAAAAGAACGAATTTACACTGCATTCCAAGATATACAATTTTTAACTTTAAAACTTTTAATTTTTAATCAAAAAAAAGTTTACATTACCGATAGCTGCACAATATTCTTCTCCTACTAAAAGCACATTTAATGATGTTAATGTTGATTATCGAATAGAACATGTGGATTCGCAAGCGAATTGGTATCGAAAATATTTTTATGGAAAAGGTAAATTTTTAAATTATTCAAACAAACTGAAAATAACGAATTGAAGAAATAAACTAAAACTATTATTATTATTTTTTTTTTTTTATTCTCATTAAAGATCATCCAACATTTATTGGTAACATTGAACCATATGGACCAGTAGTTATTTCTTTGATTCTAGATACCATAACAATTAAAACTAATCGTGAAAGTATTTATTGGTATAGATATATCGTTCGAAAAAGAGACGTATGTAATGTTTCACGTGATTTTCCGGATTCTTTTTTCTTCCCATTTTAATAAAGAAAAAATCATAAGCCTTTCTACTTTATTTATTATCATTTTTACGCATGTAAATTATAGATGCAAGATGAAAGAAGTGTATTGGTAGGACCACCTGTAATTCCATTGGGAGAACCTTTATGGGATGATTTATTGAAAATGATAAATAAAGATTTTGCAAATGGTCGATTAACAAAATTCATTACTACACCCGAATTAAGTAAGGAACTGTTAAATTTAGATGAATCACGGGTAATTTTATAATTATTTTTAATTATTTTAATTATTATTATCATTATTATTTATTAATTCTTATGTATATCGTTAGATTCAAAAATCCTATAAAGTTGGCGTTTTATATTGCGCATCATTACAGAATACGGAAGAGGAATGGTTTTCTAATACATATACATCATCAGAATACGATAAATTCTTAAATATATTAGGAAATGAGGTTCAATTGCAAGGATGGCAAGGTTTTGGTGGTGGATTAGATACAAAAACTGGTGAAACGGGGGATTGTTCAATTCATGATATTGGAACTTGGAAAGATTTTGAAATAATGTATCATGTGTGCACTATGTTACCATATGAGAGAAAAGATAAATATCAAATTACTAGAAAAAGACATATAGGAAATGGTACATTTTTAAATTATTATTTATTCTAAAATTGCGTATTATTCGGGTATTTACGTGTATTTTATTTAATATAATAGATATTGTCTGCATAATATTTCAAGACGTCCGGAAGCCATTTTCACCAAGTTCAATACGTTCACAATTCTTACATGTATTTTTAGTGGTTAGTCCTGTACTAACGGAAGATGGAAGTCAAGCGTATAGGTATGGTGTAATAATAATTGATTTTATTTATTTTCATATTAATTTCTTTCTTTAGTTAACAATAATTGATATATTTCATTAAATTTCAGTGTAGAAATTGTATGTAAGGAGGGAGTTCCTAATTTTGGTCCGGCGCCACCTAATCCTCCTATATTTTACGATATGACATTATTAAAAAGATTTATAGTGGCTACAGGTAAAAATTTTATTAAAAAGAATCTCTAATATGATTTTACTTAATTCATTTTATATTAAACGAAATTTATTTATTGATATTTGATAGTAATAAATGGCCAGAATGCAGCTTTGAAAACCCCAAAATTATGTGATCCATTTTTACGTGCTAGATACGGAAGAATGGATGACCTCGCCCACCAATTTGTACCTATAATAATACCACCACTATCTTCACCAATACCAGAAATATCAAAAAAAGATAAAATATCACATAAAGAAGAACTTAATTCTATGTTAAAGAGTTTATTTGTTAATGAATTAAAATGTGGTAGTGGTCGAACTCCCGAAATTATGCGAGTTAAAACACTTTTAGATAGAGGAGCTGATCCCAATATTCGAATACCGCAACCTATCCCAAATTCAAGATTTTCATTTTCAAGTGAAAAGGATACGAATATGGATAAAATAAATTATTCAAATCTACATAAATTACCAAATATTTTGTTTGCGGTTATATTATTAAGTGATGATCCGATATTTGCAAAGCTACTTGTTAATTATGGATGTGAGACAATGCCGCAAGATCAATATTTCCCTAATGCTTTCGTGTTTGCTGCAAAGTAATTATTATTATTATTATTATTTTATAATTTAATTTTTTAATTATTTTAAATAATTTAATAATAATTTATTAATATTTTTTTAATACTTTACTTAGGTATAAACGTGTTGAAATAATGAGATGTCTCCTGGAAAATGTACCTTCGTTAGGTGATCCCGAAAGAGTTGATGCAGCAATAGATAATATTAGTATTAAAAATAGTAGCCCCAGAGAAAAATCTTATAATAAATTATGGAGGGGATTATCTGGAATAAGAAAATGGAAAGAGAATATAACGCGCGGATATTGAATACGTCATTCTTTTCATTTTTTAAAAGAAAATAATAATCATATCATAAATTACTGTATAATAGATTCAATTTATTAAATAATTATAATATAATAATAATAGAATTCTCATAAAATTAATTTATAATACGAGAAAATTAATATACACAATTTTTTATAAAAAATTTTTTTTTTTTGAGCAATAAATAACAATTTAATGTTTATGATGTTTATGAATAATATCTTTATCTAATAAAGATTCATTATTTTTATTTTTTCCGGTAGAATCATTACTTGAACCTTCCGCTTCAACCCCTGCTTCCTCATGATCTCGTAATTGTTTTTGCCACATTTCGTAATAAACGCCTAAAATGTTACATTTAAGAATATTAGAAATGAAATTAAATTAATATATGTTAAACAATAACAATGATAGACTGACTGTTACCTGGACTTTTGTTCTCCTGTGCCAACCTAATGAGTTCTTCGTGCGTTCCCTATAAAATATTGAAACAATTTTTGTGAGCAGTAGCAAAAAAAAATGATTATAAAATGGATATAAAATGATTATAAGAATGTACCTGTTCCACGACTTGTCCATCTTTTATGCTAAAGATATAAAATATCGAAATGTAAATAATAGAAAATGATAAGACAAAAAAATACAGGGAAACTAAAAAAAAAAAAAAAATTACCAAAGAATCAAGTCAGCGTTGACAATTGTACTCAAACGATGCGCAATAACTAATGTCGTACGATTCGCAGTCACTTGATAGAGAGCTTTTTGTATTTGTCTCTCAGTTGTAGTATCAAGGGCAGATGTAGCTTCATCGAGAAGAATAATCTATAATTAATTTAAATAATAAAATAAATATCAAATTTCATTAAATAAGAAAATTAAAGAACGGATGAAGATAAAAAAAAGATAACTTACAGGTGGATTCTAGTGCACAATGTATAAAAAATTGAATTAATTAATATAATTATTTATAAAATATTTTAAAAAATCATACCAATTTCTTTACCTACCTTTAATATAGTTCTAGCAATAGCCACTCTTTGTTTTTCTCCTCCACTTAATCGTAAACCTCGTTCTCCCACACGTGTTTTATAACCTAAAATAAATAAAATAAATAATAAAATTAAGAATTTAATAAAGAATTAAGTAATTTCAAGTAGTTGAGTAATTCCAAGTAAAATTGAAATTAATAAGAACACAAATATTCATACCATCAGGGAAAGTAAGAGTACGATCATGGATTTGAGCAGCTTTGGCAGCTTTAAAGACTTCTTCTTCTGGTGCATTTACATTTCCATAATGGATATTATAAAATACTGTATCATTGAACAAAACTGTGTCTTGAGGAACAACACCTATATTTCTTCTCAAACTTTCTTGTGTGACATTTCTAATATCTTGACCATCAATTAATATACGTCCCGAGTTTACATCATAAAATCGAAAGAGTAATCGAAGAATGGTGGATTTGCTAAATAATTTAGATAATTTAAATAATTTAAATAATTTATATAATAAAATAGGATAGGAATTTACACATGTTACAAATAAAAATTACATACCCTCCCCCACTTGGTCCAACAAGAGCTACGGTTTTTCCTTTAGGTATAGTGAAAGATACATTTTTCAAGGCTTGATTTCTTGGATCATAAGAGAAATTAACATTATCTGAGTAAAAAGAATAAAAAATAAAATGAAAAATAATTGGCAAGGAGAATATAAAAAAAAAATTTTTGATAAATGTTAATCTAATATTAAATAAATACCAAATTCTACTTTTCCTTCAGTAACTCTTATTTGTGGTGCACCAGGAAGATCTTGAACACTTTGTTCTTCCTTGAATAAATCCAACATTTTTTCCATATCAACGAAATTCTGTTGAATCATTCTATAATAGGTACCAAAGAAATTGAGCTATAAAAATAAAAGATAGATATATGACAAAGATGGATGTGAGTTTAAAGAAAGTAAGCAATTCACATTAAATACAAAGATTTACAAAAATTATAAAAATTATAAAAGAAGCCTCTTACTGGACTATATAATTGATTCATATAAAATATAAAGAGAACGAAATCTCCAACGCTATAAATATTTTGAGTAATTTGATATGCAAACAGTAAACAACCCGCCAGTAAACCGCAAGTGATCACCATGTTCTGACTAAGATTAAGTACATTGAGTGAAGCTGATACTTTATAATCATAAACTTGGAATTTTCTAATCGCTTCATCATAACGTTGTACTTCAAATTGTTCAGCATTATAATATTTGACAGTTTCGAAATTCAAAAGTGAATCCACTGGAAATAATTGTAATTAAAAAAGATAATATTCTATTAAATAAGATTCTTTTAAACAAGATTTCTTTTAAATAAGATTTCTTTTAAATAAGATTCTTTTAAAACAATAATAATATCAAATAAATACAATTTAAAAATATTTTATATACCTGCTTTAGTTCTAGCATCATTATCCAATTCAATCATTACTCGTCGGAATTTTGTTCTCCATTCAGTAATCCAAATTGTCACAAATATATAACTCGACATTGTAATAAACACGATGGCTCCAATTTGCCATTCAAATAATATAACAAAGATAACAACCGCAACAAAAATATCTACGATGACAGGAAGTATTTGGAAAAATATTTGACTGAGTAATGAGATAATACTATTGGTTCCACGATCCATTACACGTAAAACTTCCCCAGTCTTGCGATTAATATGATATGACAATGAAAGTCTATATGGTTATATATATACATATTCATATATTAAGATATAATCGATATAATTGAAATAATTGTTAAGACAGAAGCATTAAAATAAATTACCCATGCAAGTGATCAAACATCTTAACGGAAATTTCTCTCGTTGTATACTAAAATTCATAATACATTTATGAGAAGGATGGAAAAGATGAAAAAGGTGAAAAGAGGATGTATAACTTAATTTAAAAAGTACCTGTCCAATAGGAATCCACAAGTAATTTTGAGATGCTTGAATTAACCCAACTCCACCTTGTAAAAATCTCAAAAACACATAAAATATAATGGTCATCCAAGGGAAACGACCTGCAGACATAAGAAATTTTTAATTAATTAAAAAAAAATAAAATAATTTTTTTTTTTTTTGACAATCATTTTTTTTTCACTTCACCTTGATCTCCTCCTTCACCACCAAGGTAATCAACAATAATTTTGAGTTGATAAGGTACGAGAACATTAATAATACGTCCAAGAATCAATAAACCAAAACAAACATAAACTAAAAATTGTAGCCATGGTTTATTTTTAGGCCAAATGAATGGAATAAGTCTTTTCATTTTCGAAAAAAAGTTTGAAAATGCACTCTCTTGTGGTGTTTGTATTTGTTGTTCTGATGAAACATTATTTTCACTAGGAGCTGTTGGAAAAGTTCCATAAGAAGTTGAATCTTGAAGAAGTCCTCTACTATATTCAGATTCAGAATTTACATGAGTCAAGAATAAATGTAAAATTTGAATCGTTGGTACAATGCATAAAATTATTAATGCAACAAAACGGATAGTTGAAATACTGAAGAAAGCTAAATCATAATTGGCGATAAATTTTCCTATTTTCCAAATATAAATTTATAATAATAATAATAATAATAATTAATAATTAATAATTAAAGAAGATTCAAATGTTCATGTTGAATTTTAAGTAGAGTAGATAATATACCTTGATTATTATGATTAATCAATAAAATCCAATAACGAAAAACCAAGAATTCTCCCGTAAGAGAAAACCAGGAAAATAAATAATTGATCAAAGACCATCCTCCAGTTCTTTTTCTCTCAATAAAAATCAAAATAAAATTGATCAACCAAGCAGTCCAAGAAGTGACAGCATAAAAAACCAATGATGACGATGACCATGTTTTTGATTCTAAAGCCCTGAATATTATTATTAAACAATCAGCAAGATAAGATAAAAGAACAATTCCACCAAATGTGTAAAGGGTTTTAATAAGCGGAGTAACACGACGTTGTTCGAAAGGATTAAATTCATTTAATTTTAAATTTCGAAGTTGATATAAACCAAGTGATATAATATAAATTAAAAGTAATATCGGAATAAAATAAATTCCGAAACATGAATCTAATAACTCAAATTTTGAGGGAAACGGTAAACATGAAAGTGAGTCTGACGAGTCAGCGATCCATAAATTTGTCATTTTTATCTATATATTTCCAAAATTCCTAAAAAAAAAATAAAATTTCAACGTTTAAATAAACATTTCTAAAAGTAAAGTAATTAAAATACAACCAACATACTGAAATAATACGTAACATCACATCGAATATACGTAAATCGAATCTCGTACATCGAATACGTAATTTTTTTTTGATGTTAATGTTTATATACTTTCAGCCCCGTCCTGCATGATTGTTTACAAATCTAAATTTTTCGAGAAGTGATTTTCTTAGATATTTTAATTGAATACTAAAAAAAGATACAAATTAGTAATTATTTCAAACCGTTAGCGAGTAATTCTTCGAATTGAAATATATATTTAAAAGTCTTTTATGTAAAAAATATCTTTAATGTAATGTATTATGTAAGCAATCAAAAGAATGTGCTTCAATTTCTTGATCTTTTTTTCATAATAAATTTGATTAAAAAATGTACATTTTTTTTATTAGATATAATAAAGTAATTAATAAAATATATTCAATTATCCTAAAAAAAAAAATTTTTATTATAAAATTTATTATTTAAGTTCATATTACATTTCGTTCATTTTAGTATCATTTTTTGGTTTTTTTTTTTTAATTATTTAATTGGAATGAGAAATGTAATGTAATTATTTTTAAAGAAAATGAAAACATTTCAAAAAAAAAAGAAATGTTTTCATTTTTACTTGTTGAATAAATTATTCATTTCTCTCCTTTAAAAAAAATTTTTATCATTTATCATCATTTCCAAATAAAAAAAAATTCAACATTCATACAAAACACAAATTAACAAAAAATTATCTCAATCAAATTTGAACAAAACAAAACAAAAAAACAACCTTCCCAATATTAGACTAATAAAGTGTTTTAATTTTCCATTTATCATTTTATTATTTATCTTATTTATCTAATTATTTTTGTATGTCAAATGAACCTACTTCCACCGGTAATGTGGTAGTAACTGCATCACTTGATTCATTCGTATCCCCAACTCCAACATCTTTCCCTTCTTTGGGAGTTACATCTTCTTCAATATTAGTTTTTTTACTATTCCGCGATTTTTTAGTTGGTCGCGGATTTGTAACAGTTAATTCATTTTTACTCCGTCGTCCTCTTTTGGGGGAATTTGACGTAATCACACTTGTCAAACTACCACCACTAGATCCAGAATTTGAACTTCCACCACCACTAGCATTATTTGCATCGTTGGGATTATTATTATTGTTATTATTATTATTATTATTATCTTTAATATCTTGTGCTTTGGGTTCCCAAAATAAAAATTTATTACCCAAAGTTGCTCTACTAACTGATTGAAGTGCTCTTGATTTTTCATCATTTGTATTCTTTTTGTTTTTTGTTCTCTTGTTGTTATTATTATTATTACTATGTTGATCTTGTGATTCTCCAGATTCTGAATCTTGGGGTGTCGACACTTCTTGTTGGGCTGGTGGCGGTGTTGTTGTTGTTGTCGTCGTCGTCGTCGTCGTTGTTGCTTTTTCATGATCATTTAGTGATAATGTAATTTTTGAAGTTGAAGGTTTCGGTGATAATGTTATCTTTGAAGTTGAAGCTTTTGGTGATAATGTAATCTTTGAAGAATTTAAAGCTTTCGTCTTGTCTTTTCTTCTACTACTACGTTGTTGTTGTTGTTGTTGTTGTTGTTGTTGTTGTTGATTTTGTAAATTTTCGTTTTCTTGATTATTTGGACTTTGTTGTTGTTGTGGATTTAATTGAGGTTGTTGTTGTTCATGAGATAAATGTTGTATCGCTTGCATTGATGTAATATTATTATTATCTCGAGCTTTTTGTCGAGTTAAAACTTGATTACGTTCATTTTCCATTTGTTGTTGTTGTTGTTGATGTTGATGAACGAGATCTTGTTGTTGAGGAAGTTGCCACACATTAATCGCAGGAATCTGTTTCGGAATTGGATAATTATTTTGCCAATTTCGAACCGATACAGGGTAAAAATCTTGAGTATATATATTATTTTTTATATTAAAAAATAAAGAGGTCAAAAATCACCATGAAAAATATAAAAATAGATTTTATTAGCTTACTTTAGAATTGATTGCACCGTTATTATCTTGATGCATACCTTGATCTCCAATTAATTCTGCTATTTGTTCAGCGGAAGGTTGAGGTTGTTCTATGAATGGTGAGATTTGATGATTTCCGTACATCGATGAAAATATTTGTGGTGGTGGTGGTAATTGTAAATGTGGTGATGATGATGATGATGATGATGAAGGATTTGGATTCTTATTAAACCTTTGTAATATTTGTTGATATGCATGTAAACCTTTATAAAAATCTTGTTGTAAAGAATCTTGAGAATTTGCATCTTGTACTGGAGGTGGAGTGAATTGTGAATTAGTTGAATTTGAATTTCTTATATTAATAGGTCTGAGAAATTGATGTTCTAAAGGAGTTCTTGGCATCGGTATAACTGTTGAAGTTCTTTCTTGTTCTAATAATTTTGATAAATTTTTTGCTAAAGGACTAATATTTGATACTGAATAACCTGTAGGAGAAGTTTGAATTTTATTTGACTTTTTTGTGGCTGGATCACAATCTACTTCAATAGCTTCTATATGTAATTCACAATTATCAGCATGAAGGAAAAATCCAGAAATAAAAAATTGTGAATAAGCATCCCAAATTGATGCCATATTTTCAAATCGTTCGTTATCAGTTTGATATCCTATTCGAAACCTTATGTCGGTAGATCGACGCGTAAAGTTACAATCAATTATAGATTTGGTACGTATAAATTGACAATTTTCAATTTGTCTTAATGATCCAGGAATAGGTTGAGTATTGAAACTTAAGTAAGGTGATGAAAGGGGTATTTCTTCAGTTTCCCAACATCCAGAAGAAGGTTTGGGATATGGCGTAGCGACTGTCACGTTGATCTAAAAATAAATATATTACAATTTTATAATTTTTTTTTTATGATAAAAATAGTAAAAAATTAGTTCTCTGTGTTTCATTAGTTCTTCAAAAAAAAAAAAACTATATATTATTTAAATAAACAATAAAGATCGCGAAAAAAAAATAATGAAATTACTTTACCGTGAAACCTTCTGCTTTTTCTACAATTTCGTAAGCAAATTTTCCTACCAAAATGACTACATCGCCTTCAGAGAAAGGCTGACAATATTTTGTCAACCTTGTACTAGGTGATACTTTAAATCTGAAAGTTCCAAATTGATTCTCTTCACACCTATATTTGCCTATTCCAACGTCTAAACCATTTTGTCTGGTTTTTTGTTCTATCAGGGCAATAATATGCATAGTCGAAGACATGATTTTGATTTGATGGATAATAATTAACTTTAAACTAGTTAAAAAAAAAAAAAAAAATTGAAACAATGGAAAAATCAGGAAAGAAAAATGAAGATGAAAATGAGATGGAAAAAAAAATTTTAGTTTTTTTCTGTATAAAGTATTTAAACACGATTAGTTGGAGTTTTAATACCGAAATGAACAAATATAAATTTCCAGATTTGGAAAACGAATAGGGGTCGATCAAAAATAATTTATTCAGAAATAATCAGAATAAGAAAAAAAAAATGATCGTACACCTTATTTATATTTATAAAGTATTTTCAATATTCACAAAAAGATAAATTTATAACAAAAAAAAAAAATTTTATAAAACAGAAATGTAAAACAGAAAAATTCAAAAAAAGAATAAATGAAAACAGATAAATAAGTATGCAAAGGGAGAAAGAAAAAAAAAAAATAACAAAAAAGATATCGGAAGGTAAAAACCAAAATGGGAAGAAACGGAAAGCAAAAAAATATAAATAAAAAAATAACATAAAAATACGGCTGAATGAGTAATTATAGAGTCTTTATTGAAGAAATTCTAAAATTGGTAAGGCTGAAAGACATTAATATAATAGAAAAGGTAATTATTAAATAGGGGATCATCTTTAAAGTTATCCAAATGGATTATTTGAATATGTCGTGACATTTGAAATCACCCAAATAAGTTACAGCCACAAAAAAATGTATTATCCATCAAAGGTAATAATAGTTAAATAATGAAGAAGAAAAAGTATTATGAACATATTATGAATATAAAAGGAAGTTAATTTTGAAATTCTTTTATGAAAATTTAGGTAATGTAACAGAAAGAACAAGCTTTTTCTTTTTTTAAAGAAATCTATACAAGGAAGGAAAGAAAAGAAATTAGACATGTAGGTAAATAATTTATCAACCATATAGAGTAATATTAAAATGGCGAAACAAACGGCTTTGGATATTTCTTTTTTTTTTTTTTAAGAAAAAAAAAAGGAAGTGAAAAGGATATTTACTTGCAGAACAGATAGCACTTTTTTCTGTAAATATCATCAAAGGAAATTACTGAACTTGGAGAGAAGTTTATGTAAATTTGTATTGGTTATATGCCATAAGATAAGGTTTTGTTGCATCAAAAAAAAAAACCTGAATTGTATTCATTTCATTCATTCATTATCATTTATAGAAAATAAAAAATAAATAGAAATAACAAAATAGTAATACAAGTTTCGACGCATTTTTGTTTAGTATTCTATATAAATAAAATTTTAATATTTATTAATATTTATTAATACTTATTCTATGAAAGTAAAATATTTCCAAAAATATTTTGTCGTCCTCATCAAAAATAATCCCAATAATTTTTTTTCACCAATTAAAGCAGTTTGGCATCTCATGCACAACATCATTCATTACAGCTTATTTCATCATTTCCATTCTTTCCTTTTCTTCTCTTTCCCTTCTCTTGTATTACAATCTTATCTTAATCAAGAGGAATAAGTTATTGACAAAAAGTAAGTTATCTGTTAGTTATCTAATACAGGAATTTATATGTTACAAACTTTTATTTATGTATCACAGGTTGAATAAAAACAAAAAAAAACCACCAGATATTATAATTTTTATGATATGATTATCATTTGTTTGTTTGTTTCTTATTTGTTTTTGTATTTTCATCATTTCTCATTATCATTTCTCATTAATATTTCTATATTTCTTTTTCTTTTTTTTTTTTTTAGAAAGAAAGCCATTTGTACTAACTTATTTTGATTGTCATTGTCACTTGCTTATTTATTGCTGGTCATCTGATATTTACTTTGTTTTAAACCAAAAAGAACAAAACTTATATTTTTACATCATCAAAAAACTTTTTTTTAAATAAAATAAAAAAAATTAATAAATATCAAATTCAATTTATTCGTTAATAATTATTAATGTGCAAAAGAGCTTACATTACACTTTAAACGCGTATAGAAACTTACAAAAAATATTCTTACTTTTTTTTTTTTTTAAAAAAAAAAAATTCTTCGAAATTTACTCAAAAGGAATGCGTTCGGTTTTTATAATCAAAAAATTACCATAAAATCATAACTTAAAATGGATAGATTAAAATTAAACTTTTAAAGAATGTCATTCTTTCATGATAATGAATGATAATAAATAATCAAGATAATAAATAATAAAAGATAATAAATAATAAGATAAATTCTTTTTTTTTGTTCCGGTAAGGCCTTTCCTCAAATTTATTGAAAAAGAGAAAGTCTCTTACATTACTTTTACATACTCAAAATGAGTATTGCTAAAGTTCACCGGTGCCGATTGTAACACCAGGCAAAATTACATAACTTTGCCCACGTAATTTAATTTTGCCTAGTGGTGACAATCACCACTGATGAGCTTTAGCAATTTTCGAAGAATTCTTTTTTGTTCCAGCCTCAAATTTATTAATTAATTAAAAAAGTGAAAGTCTCTTAAATTTCTTTTACATAATAAAAAACACAACTTATTCTAATAATTATTAAGAGATGAGACTTAAACTAACTCATAAAAGACATGCCTGCAAATAAGAGAAAGTCTCTTACATTATTTTTATATAATATAAAACACATAACTTATTCTAATAATTATTAAAAGATGAGACCCAGACTAAATAAAAGACATGCCTGCAAATAAAAGATAATTAAATAAAAGATAGCAAATAATAAAAGATAATAAATAAAAGATAACAAATAATAAAAGATAATAAATAATTTTTTTTTTGTTCCAGTGAAGCCTTGCCTCGAATTTATTAATTAGTTAAAGAGAAAGTCTCTTACATTACTTTTACATAATATGAAATACACAACTTATTCTAATAGTAATTAAAAGATGAGGCTTGGACTAACGCATGCAAATTAAAGATAATAAAAGATAATAATATTTTTTTTTTCCAGCAAGGCCTTGCCTCAAATTTATTAATTATAATAACTATTAAAAGATGAGACTTGAACTAATTCATAAGAGACGTGCATGCAAATAAAAGATAATTAAAGATAATAAATATTTTTTTTTCAGCAAGGCCTTGCCTCAAATTTATTAATTAGAAAAAGAGAAAGTCTCTTTACATTACTTTTACATAATATAAAATACACAACTAATTCTAATAATTATTAAAAGATGGGACTCATAAGAGACGTGCCTGCAAATAAAGGTAATAAATAATAAAAGACAAGATAATAAAATTTTTTTTTATTCCAGCGAGGCCTTGCCTCAATTTTATTAATTACATTACTTTTACATAATATAAAATACACAACTTATTCTAAAGATGAGACTTATAAGAGACTAAAAAAAAGATTAGTAAATGTACGATAAAAATTATAATGCAATATTAGAGATAAAAATAGTATAAATCAACTATCACGTGGGTTAAGGTTAGGGTCAGGGATTGGTTAGTTATAGTTTGAATTTGTAAATATACTTACATCCGACCCTACAACTATTCGTATCACTCATATATTAGTGGACAGTTATTCATTTTTATTCAAGTATAAAATTATAAATAATGACAAAATATTTCTTGCCATAATATCATAAAAATTAGTATTTTATTATTCATATTTTTTTTTAAAAAAATGGAAAGTAATTCAAACTTTGGAGGAAAACGAAAGGAAGAAGAACGGGAAGATAAAAATGAAAATGAATTAAATGAAAACAATAATGGAATGGTATCAAAAGATAATATTAGTTTTGATCAATCAATTATTAGTAATTCAAAATTGAATGTTAATAATTTATCAATCAAAGAAAAACTTTCGATAAATAATGGAACAGGTAGAAATCTAATTCAAATAATCATAACATTTTTTTACTATATAAATTATAAATTAATTATTAGAAATATTAAAAATATTAACAGTATTGTTAAATTTATTCGCTTTTTTTAGGAATTTCTAATAATTTATTCAAAAATATTTCTCAAAAACATCGTCAGCCATTTTATGGAGAAAATGTGAAAACAACTTCAACACCTTCTCGAACACCTAATCTTAGTAATTCCTGGGAATTTGCCGGGTATTTATGAATATGTAATGTTATATCTATGAATTCTTTAATTTTAATTTTGTTATTATTATTATTATTATGCATAAAATTAGATGGGGTGCAACTTATTATATTGATCTTCCAATAATTGAATCTGAAGATGGTCACCCTCAAACGAAATCACTTCTTGGTCAATGGCGTGCTACTAGTATTTCAGGAAATGATCTTGTTGCATCAGTTTTATATACTATTGGACTTTGCATAGTTGTGGCTGGTAAATTCGCACCAATATCTTTATTTATAGTTGCAATCATTATTTATCCATTTAAAGATATTTTAAGCGAAGTTGGTACAGCACTTCCTTTAAATGGTGGATCTTATAATTGTTTACTTAATACATCATCCAAATGGTTTGCTTCAGTTGCGGCAGCAGTATCACTATTAGATTATATGTCAACAGCAGTAGTTAGCGCAGCAACAGCTACTTCATATATTTCAGGAAGTCTTCATTTATCAAATTTTTTAGTATTTGTGCTTACTATTGGAATACTTATAGTATCTGCGAGTATTGTAGCATCCGGACTTAAAGAATCATCAAATGTGGCATTCGTAATTTTCATAATTCATTGCCTTACATTAACTTTATTAATGATTGCAAGCGTTGTACGATGGATTATTCAAGGAAATGATATATTAATAGAAAATTGGAAAAATCCGGGGTCAGGAAATCCTTTGTTAGAAATATTTAATGGTATATGTGTGGGACTTTTAGGAATTACTGGGTTTGAAACATCAAGTAATTATATTGAAGATCAAAAACCTGGTGTATTTCCTAAAACCGTGAGAAATATGTGGGTATTGGTTTTTATATTTAATGCACCAATTAGTTTTTTAGCTTTAACAATAATTCCGTTATCAACAATTAAAGAACATCAAAATGAGGCAATTTCAACTATAGGAAAATATGCAGCAGGAAATTGGTTAGAAATTCTTATCGTAATTGATGCAGCAATTGTATTAAGTGGTGGAGTTTTATCAGGATTTGTGGGAGCTACAGGATTAATTCAACGAATGGCATCAGATCATATTTTACCTCAATTTTTATTAAGAAAAAATAGATTTACTGGAACATGTCATTGGATAGTATTAAGTTTTCTCACATTTTGTATAACTCTTTATGTTATTGTGGGAGGAAATACTACTTCTTTAGCTGGTGTATTTGCAATATCATTTTTAAGTGTATTGTGTATGGTGAGTATTTAATTAATTCTATATTCCACATTTCATTACTAAGTGTTATTGCTTTATATATTATATTATATATATATATCTTTCTTTCTCAAAAAATATCTTCAACTACACAGTTTGCTATTGGAAATATTCTTCTTAAATACAAACGGGGAAGATTATATCGAAAGGTAAGTAAAATATATTAAAATATTTTAAGAATATTAAAATTAATTTTCAAAATAAAAATATTTAAATTTTTTTTAAATTTTAAGGTCCGAGTGTCTACAGGAGTTGTCATTCTATGTTTAGCATCTATTCTAACAGGATTAATTGGAAATATAGTTTATAATCCTCAAATGGCCCGTTATTTTTTAATTTACTTTGGATCCTTATTCTTTGTAATGTTATTGATGTTAAACCGAGTTTGGTTATTAAAGACATTATTTTTTTATTTGGATAAGATAATCATTTTACATAAATCTAAAATTGCTAATACCGTGATATCTTTAATTAAGAAACTTAAAAAGCAACCAGTTATCTTTTTTACTAATACCGATGAATTACATATTCTTAATAAAGGTAGGTATTTAATAAATTACTTTTTTTTTTTTAATTCATTTTTTGATTGTTAAAGAACATAATAGAGTGACAATTAATTTCTGTATAATTTCCATAATCTCTAGCTGTTCTATATGTTAAGAATTCTGAATCTAGTGGATACATAAAATTTGTTCATCTTTATGGAAATATTGAAGATGTAATATTATTGTTATCTGTTATTATTATTAATATTATTAATTTATTATTATATATAATTTAATTTACAAGATTAATTAATTAATTATTATTTATTTATTGAATGTTTTTATATTTTTCTTTAGATTCCAAAAAGATTAGAAGCAAATCATCGTGTATTGGATGAGGTAAAATATCATTCTCCCTTTTAATTATTGATATTCATAATTATATTGACAATTAAATAATTGGAAATTTATTAATGAATTTCTTCTATTTATCATATATATATATATATATATATATATATATATAGTTATATCCCAAGATCCAAATTGATTTGGTAGTTACCATTTATCATATCAATTATATTATTCCTTGCAATTAATAATATTATTTATTTACATGTATTCTTTAATTTTAGATATTTATTCAAGGAAGATTTGATCCTGAGACTATAGAAGCTATTTCAAAACATTTAAAAATTCCAAAGGTAAATATATCAAACATTTTTTAAGTATTTAAAAATTGATTGAAATTTTTAATTAATTAATTAATTTGAAATATCTATTTTTTATTTTATTATAAATAAAAATAAATAAATAAAAATAAACAATAAATAAATGAACATAGTCTCTAATGTTCATTTCCTGTCCTGGTGAAAAATTTCCTTACAAAATAGGGGAATTTGGGGGTATAAGAACTATAATGTTATAATTACTGTATATAACTGATTATTCGTACTTCTAGCACTTTTAATTAAAAATTACACTTCTAAATTCTTTGAATTTTTAAACTTTAAATATTAGAATTCTTTATTTTACTGTCTAAAATTAAATCATATTATCTTTTCTTTTGTTGAAACTAAATGCATTTTTATCTAGTGATATATAATTGTGAGAAAAATAAAATAATCAACTTAAAGAAAATATAAACAAAAAAACCTGCAATCTCAGCTCAATTCTCACTGAAATTTCAGACTTCACATATCAGACTTATATTTCTCTATCCATCTCTCTTAATATAAATATAATATATCATTATTTATTAGCTGATGAGAAAATCTCTAAACCTCACTTGTAAATGAAAAAAAAAAAAACACATTGAGATGACAAACTAAAAATATAATTCTCATGTATTCTATATAATTGAATTTTATTTTTATAATAAAATATTTTATACTTGTATCAGGCAAACGATATTCCAATTCCCACATTCTCATGTTACAAGCAGCTTTATAAACAAAGTTGATTTAATGTTATAGCATAAAGGAAGATTATAGTGTAGTGTCCTATCCCGTTTTTGGTTTCGAGTCGGGTTTAAATATTACCCACGAATAAGAAATTAAAATATTTCAAATGATTGATGGAAAGAGTCGTGAGAAAAATGAAACAAATAAAAGCCAAGTTGTCCAATATTTGGTATTTTAATTAATTCTATTAAAAAATTATCTACAAGTTTATAATAATTAATGAAGAAATAATTTAAAGAATTGAGAATTCACGAATTTCTGTTTGTCTTACTAAATTAGGTTCAGAAAATGACAAATATTTACTTATTCATGTAATTATTTTAAATAATAAGATCTCTTCAATATTGACATTGTATAGATGTAGTAATTAAATCGAATCAAACTTTCATGCGATATAAAAAATAAATTATATTAAACTATTTTCAACAATTAAAAACTGAAGAAAATTAGAAACCTTAGAAAGGCAAATTGAATTAGTAAAGAACCAACCCGATAATTACTCAATAATAAACAAAAATTATTTCAATGACTTTTTCAATAACTTTTCTCCGAACTCCGATGTATGTATGACATGTTAAATAAAAAATATATGTGATGATTTTAACTTACTGATCTTTACACAACAAATTAATTTTTTCAAATTAATCTTTACATTCTTTTAAATTATAACGTTTGTTCAGAATGACCAAAAAAAATATTAAAATATTTCAAGGTTATTGTAAAAGCTGTCATCATCCTAATACAAGCTTTGATTGGTGTCAACCTTGTAATTCTCAACGATTTCGAAATAATTTTTTCAAATGGACAAGTGGAAATATTAATGTTGATAATATAATAATGAAAATGCAAATGGAGGCCACAAATTCTCGAGAAATTTTAGAATGGATTCCATGGCTTAAATTTAAAAATATTTCATTAATAGATTCAGGAGGATTTGGTTCGGTATATTCAGCCAATTGGATTGATGGATGTATCGCTTATTGGAATAACGAAAAAAATGTCTGGGGAAGATATGAAAGTAGATCTACTTTCGTTATAAAGATTTTTGATAATTCTAAAAATATGACTGCATCTTTTTTGGATGAGGTCTTTGCGATTCATCAATCTAATATACCTGGATTAATTCGTTACTACGGTTTCACGAAAGAACCTAATTCAGATAATTATGGAATAGTTTCAGAATATGCCGGAAAAAATCTTCGTCAATACATTGCTACTTCTGTTGCATCTATCAATAAATTAGAAATATTAATTGATATTTCATTAACTTTAAATAAACTTCATTCTTCAGGATTGATTCATAAAAATATTCACACCAAAAATATATTAAGAAAGCAAAATTCAACTTTTATTATTAGTGATTTTGGATTATGTTTTCAAGCTAATAAAGAATTAGATTGTAAAGAATATTTTGGTGTTTTAGAATATTCTGCACCCGAAATATTATTAGGATCTCAACATACCAAAGAAACTGATATATATAGTTTTGGAATTTTGATGTTAGAAGTTTTTGCAGGGGTGATAAAATTACCAAATATAACACCTGATTTTTTACTTGCAAAAGAAATATGTTATAGTGATATTCGTCCAGAAATTTCATTAGAATTACCTACTCAAATAGTTTCCCTTATTAAAAGGTGCTGGGATAATATTCCTAATAATAGACCAAAATCTCATGAAATATATGAATTATTATCAGAATGGTGGATGAAACTTTTAAATATGAATGACCTCTCTTTGAATAAATTGTTTGAATCTTCTCCAATTCTTAATATTATAGATAATTCAAATATTATATTATCGCATAAATTTAAAAGTAAACGATTGGATTACTATCATTACTTAGATAAGAGTAAGTGTATATTACTTCTTCACAGTTATTACACATCATTATCACACAGTATTACTTATAATCACATAACTTACATATTACTCAGTAATAGATCAAGATTATATGGCCGTTGATGAGTTTGAAGAGGATCATCCACCTTCATTTATGATATTAGAAGGAATAGAATTTTGACTTCTACCAAATTCTTCAAGAACAATAGAATTATTCTCATTATTATTTAATATATTCACCATTATTTAATATTATTTAATATTAGTTCAGACAATTAATTGTAATTGTTATAATTGTTATAATATGAAGGAAAAATTTATTATAATTTCAAATTTTTTAGGAAAAAAAAAATATTACAAAAAAAAGTAATTTATATGATATACAGCAGAATTTTGATAATATGTTCAAGATAAATTATATATTAAATTTATGTTAAAATTATATGTATACGAGAATTTTTTTAGAGATCGTAAATTCCATAACAATAATTTATGCAGAGCATTTTAAGTTTCTAAAAAAAATATCGCGATAATTAGCATTTTATTTATTTTATTTGAAAAAGAAATTCATGAAATATCATATAAGAATAATTGACTTACTTTAATTTCTCATTGTAGCACGTGGTGCAAACTGTCCAGACTGAGTTCTTCGTGGTGCAAACTGTCCAGACTGAGTCCTTCGTGGTGCAAACTGTCCAGACTGAGTCCTTCGTGGTGCTAATTGTAGTGGTGCTCCTTGTACGATTTGAAGGGAGGCGACAAGAAGAATAACCAAGAAGAGAAGTAAAGTTCGAGCGTTCATTTTGGATAAGATTTTGATTTTTTTTTATATAATAATTTAATCAATTGAATTTTTATTAAAAAACAAAAAAAAGAATTGTTTGATGATTAGTCTTGGAAAGATAAGAGGTGAATTTATAGAAAATTTTGACTGAACTATGGAAGCAAAATGAATTGAACACGAACTTAAATTTAATTAATTTAATTCGTTCCTCATTCAATGTTAAAGAAATTTTTTCATGAATTTTTTTAAGAATCATTCAATCTGAAAGTTAATAATTTTTAATGCCGATAGAAAACGATCTATAATGAAATTTGAACATTACGAAATCTTTAAATGGTTTAAATATCACATTTAAATGATCTTAAAGTGGAGTAGAATATATATTAGAGTTTATTGCCGATCATGCTTTAAAACGCCCCCTTACATCGTAACCAGAGACTGATCAGCAATTTGATTTTATTAAATTCAAAATTTATAAATTTTAATTAAATAACAAAAAAAAAAAATAAGATATAGAAATACTAATAATTAATGAATGTTATTTTTTTCGCACATTTCAATAGCTTTAGCATGTTTTTTGTTAGCAGCCTTTTGTAAATATTTACTTCCTTTTTCTTTATCGACCATAAATTCAATGCCATTATAATATGCACTACCAACATTATACATCGCTGTGAGATTACCTTGTATAGCTGCTTTTTCCTGATATTTTAATGCTTCAAGTTTATCTGTGGGAACACCTTTTCCATCCCAAAGACATGATCCATACTTGAGTTGTGCTTCAGGTTTACCTTTATCAGCAGCCATTTTAAATAAATTTGCTGCCACGGCAAGATTTTTTTTATCATTTACTTGTAATTCCGGTATTTCACCATGATAAAGGTAATATCCTTTCCAGTATAACGCATCAACATTACCTTCATTCGCATATTTACAGAAATACTTCCACGCTTTTTGTTTATCTCCCTGTTTATGTTCGCGAATAGCATCATCTATACCATCCACATCCATACCATCTACTTCCATATAATCTTCTTTACAATTATTATTTACAAATGGGTTATCATTGGATGGAAGTGGAGTTCTTGGACGTTTTACACGGCTTTCATCGTAATAATTGTAGAGTAGCGAAAAAATTGTGGAAATCGGTGGACGATCCATTTTATCATGTTGACACGCTATTGGTTTATTTTTTATTAATATTTATTTTTTTAATTAAAGGATTTTTTTGAAATTTTATTTTTTATTTACCTAAAGTTACAACAGTTTTCCATATTTCGGGTACTTCCGCGGTGATCTTTTCTCTTTCTTTATGTTTCACTACACGTACTATAATCTTTTGGAAATCATTTTTAATAGATTCGAAAGGTTTCTTCGTTTCAGCTATTTCCCAGAGTACCATACCGATGCTAAATTAAATATTATTATTATTTTTAATAATTTCATAAAAAATAAAATTTATGAACAACAAAAATAACTAAATAATGAAGATTACGTACCTGTAGATTTCGCATTTAATATCATATGGAAGTTTTTTATCTTGCAATTCTTCGGGTGCCATATATCTAACATTTTCTAAATTGGGTTGAATATTTCTTGTTACTTCTTTGAATTTTCTTGACAATCCAAAGTTGGCAATTTTTATCTTATGATTCCTATCGATTAACATATTGACAGGCTGTATGTCGTGATGTAAAATCTAAAGGATAATAAATATATATATATATATATATATATTTAATTTTTGTTTATGAAGCCTTTTCTTTTTTTCCATTGTGACTCTAAAATCCCATCAGCATTAAAGAAAAAAAAAAAAAAGAGTAAGTATCAAATAAATTAATTTTACCTCTGCAGCATTTAAATAAGTAATCCCACGACAAATATCAAGAGCAAATTCAAATTTTCTATTCGGGGTTAATTGGTTAGCTCTATAATATTCTTGCAGATTTCCGTATTCCATCCATTCCGTAACCAAATAATATTTTGTTTCATCCTTGGCAACTCCATGAAACTTTATAATATGACTTGAACCTTTTAATTCCTTTAAAATTTTTACTTCCTGTCTTATCTCTACTTGCACGTTGTGATCTTGTATCTGAAATTCTTTAAATGCTACTTCCTCATGTGTCTTATCAATCCGCTTTTGAATCTTTCGACTTGGTTTATCATCTTTTTTCACGTAGTCATCTGCGTTCAACAATTCTTCATCCGAGAAATTTCTACGATTGTTCGGACTCATTTGCTCTCTGTCTCTTTTCATCATCAATACTTTATTTAATTGTTCTGATATATTGTCATCTTCGTCAGTAATACCACCAGCAATTTTTTGAAGGTACTAAAAATTATTAAAAAATTTTGAAATCATTTTATAACTAATCTTTTAGAAAATAAATGTATCATAAAATGCCAATAATTGTAAATTTACCTCTTTAACTTGCGAAACGTCTCGAGAAATTATTTCCAGTTCTTTAGCTACATCTACTTTGTTTTTTATAATTATTGCAAAGTTCAATGATTGCATTAAACCATCAAATTCTGTGCTCAATTCTTTATACCTTTCTTCAATAGTATTCGTTAACATATATTTTCTTAATCCTCCAAGTTGAGAAACTTCGGAAACATAAACTTTAATATTAAACATACAGTTCGTAAATTTTTCAAATAATTTTAGATTATGTGCATTTGAAAAAAATTCTTCGTTTTCTGTTTTTCGGATTTGTAGATCCCTCACGGATGCCACAGCTGCATTCGTTCTTATGGTTAAATAACTGCATATGTCTTTATGATGTTCAGCTTTTTGATAGAAACATATAATCTCATCACCTATTTTAAATACTTTACTTATGAGATCAACATAAGGAGCGAAATAACCTATAGCTTCAGTGATACATGCAGCTTCTTTAAGAACACTTGCTACTATATCGGTTGGAGTATCTAATCTTTGATTTCTGCGAGAAACTGAGAAAACTGTAGAATTACAATCCACGTCTCTTTCCGACTCGTCCATATACATGTCTTGCACTCCTCTGTCGTCTGATGGTTTAGTCTTTTTCCGTTTAAAAGTCATTATTTTTTAACAAATTTTCAATAAATATACGTTAACAAGTAAATAAATAGAATTGCTCAATAAATATTACTCAAAGAAAAATTTAAGCGCTCAAATTTACGCATAAAAGTGACCAATTTATTATTTTTTTTTTATTATATATTTATTTAAAAAATCAATTCAAATTTATATATATATCTTTCATAGAAAATTCTTTGCATGTTCTGGAAGGACTTTCCAAAATGTTTTGTTATTTAATTTTCGGAGTTCATTCATATCATGCATCAATTTTTTGAGGTACACACGGGGAGTAAAATAATTTTCCATGGGACATTTCCATAAAGTTACAATTTCCAAATTCTTTTGATAACCACTGCGTGTACGAAACATTTCTTATTGGAATTTTCGCTATAAAGACATGGCATGAATTACATTCCATTAAGGAAAGAAATGAAATTATATCGGAGGTCTGGAATGGTGAAAAATTTTTGTGAACCCAATTGTCCAGCTCACAAAAAGGCTTCAAGTGGCTTAAGATCTTCCAAAGATTGATAAACATCAGCATGACTCATTCTCATTTGTGAATTTTTTAATAAATATTTGATTGCGCAACCTTCCAATTTCTTTTTTT